AGGAGCAGACTAGATATGGTCACAGTAACCAGAGAGAGAGAGAGAGACAGAGAGAGAGAGAGAGAGAGAGAAGAGAGGCACAAATGAAATACACAGTCTACAAATAAAATAAAGTATCTTGCGAATGGACTTAAGAAAATCAGCCTGGCATTTTCCCACAAACCAGTTGGTGTGATCCTGGACAAATCATGCGAAGAGCTGGGCTGGAAGGGCAGCTCTGACATCATAAGTCCCCGCTGTTGCTGAGGACACAGATTTGGCTCCCAGCACCCACATGGTATTTGTAACAACAGTTCCAAGAGATCCAATGTCCCTCTAATCTCTGGGGGCACCAGGGACACACATGATATATGTACATATATACAGGCAAAAACCTTATATACATAAAAAAAAACTTCTAAAAAGACACAAGCTGTCATTTGTTAAGTGACTAATTATTGGTTCTTTGGTATATACTTTTCTCAAATATATCCTTGAATTGTTGAGTGGGAAATATATTTAATAATGTCAGTAAATCAACAGGCAGATTAGACTCTATACCGAGGGTCTCTCCTTCTTTACTTTGGATTTGGTGTTTTGTCCCATTGTCCCCTCACACAGGGTCTCATGCAGCTCAGGTCGGCTATGTTCACATTCACCAGGTAGCTTAGGATGATCTTGAACTCCTAATCCTCCTGCCTCCACCTCCCATGTACTGGAATTACAGGCATCCACACTGGGCCCCTCATTATCAGTTTAGAAGAAGTAGAAATGACCAGGGAAGCATTCTGATGGAGTCGTGACTGTGGGTCGGGGGATTTCATGTATACTGCAGGAGGAGTGTGATTTCTGGCAACAGTTTGGCATTACACAGTAAATGTAAAGATACATATGCTTCCACACCTAGGTACCTATGCTCCAAAGTCATGTCCCCTAGTTTCCATCTTACATGAGTGCATAGGAGGAAAGGCTGTGTAGACAAGCAAACCTGGTGGATCCTTGTCGGAGGCACTGGCGAGATGGCCTGGTTGGCAAAAGTTTATCTAAATAAGCCTACGGAAGGAGAGAGTCCAGAGTTTCCCCTGTACTTCACATGAATGCTATGGTACAAGCCCACCTGGATGTACACACAGATGCCATGTATACAGATACATACAATAATACATTTTATAAAATCCTAGTTTTGCTACATACTGCAGTATGAATTTGAGTATGTTGTGACATCTCCTTAAATAGCAAGGAAGAGCTGACCTTTTAAGAAAACACACTGAGTACACACATAGCTGCCTACGTTTTTCATCACTGAAACTTGCAGTTCCTCTTTCAAAGGTCCATATCACAAGGAATTCTACTTCCCATCAGTCCCAACTGTATTAAAAACATCACAGGGCTGAAGAGCTGGCTCAAAGTTTTCAAAGATTATGAGAATTTTGGCCTTTTATGGCAAATAATTCTATTAAGAAAGCAGGATAGCCATGTCTGGAACCCAGGCCTGTGATCTCAGAACTTGGAAGCTTGAGGTAAGAGGAATTCGGCATTGTCTCCAGCCACATAGTATGTTCAAGGACAATACAGGCTACATGAGATCTTGTCTCAAAAGGGGGTGGGGGAGCAGGATACAGTAACAGGAAAGAACCAGCACAGGGCTGCACACTGCGGTGGTCTCACCTGCCCCACATACGGGTAAGCGTCTTCAGAGTCAATACCTCCATTTTGCTGCACGTATTGGAAGGCAGTGGTCATATAGCCACCTCCACAACCGTAATTCTCAGACACACAGTCCACAAGATTCTGGGGACTCAGAGCTAAGAGTTTACCAGTTTTCTTCTTGAGTTGGCCCTCCAGGGCACCCGCAGAGCTGAAAGCCCAACAGGAACCACACTGGCCCTAAGAAACACACAGAGAAATTGTCAGTCATCAGTCTTCTGATGGTGTGTCTTTCTGCCACCCTGATAAAACTCCATGCACTTTATGACGTCAAGCACAAATGTTGTCTTTGTTGTAAAGCCCTGTTATTGTCCCCACTGATGACAACTGTGACCACTGTCTCCTTTAACTGAAGTCAAGTACAGTGAGGACTTTACAGCTTTGGAGACAGTTCTCATGAATGCTAACCCTGACTGTGCATACTAGAAACATGATCTTGATCAGTTACTGAACTCTGTGCCTCAGTCTCCTTTAAAGTGAAAATAAGTTGGGTTTGCTGGAACAGACATGTAACCCCATCACTTGAGTAGTGGAGGCAACGGGACCAGAGGCCAAAAGGTCAATCTCAGCCACAGACTGAGTTGGAGGGCAGCCTGGACAAGAGACCTTACCTCAAAAAACAAGAAAGTAAGTGATACTAACGTTAATGAGATTCCTGTGAGCACCAAGAGATCGAGAATCGTAGACGCTACGCATGCACAGCAACCTCTCAGAAAGTGTCAGCTACTATTAGCATTTGCTCTCCTGGATTGCACAATTTTCTCTTTCTGAGATTTTCTATTTTTTTTAAGAATAAGAATTTCTTAAGGATCAAGACAGCATCTTAAATCTTGAATCTTTATCCCACAGCTTAGTGTAAAAATTTTAAAGTAGAAAAAATCTTAAATATACAAAATAGGTAGAATTAAATAACAGAATATGCTATATTCTTTTTTTTTTTTTTTTTTTTTTTGGTTTTTCGAGACAGGGTTTCTCTGTATAGCCCTGGCTGTCCTGGAACTCACTCTTTAGACCAGGCTGGCCTCCAACTCTCGAACTCAGAAATCCGCCTACCTCTGCCTCCCAAGTGCTGGGATTAAAGGCATGTGCCACCACAGCCCGGCCAGAATATGCTATATTCTTGTAGCATGAGATATACCACACTTCAGGTTAGATACACACACACACACACACACACACACACACACACACACACACACACGAGCTCGAAAGCACCTGGTTTTTGACTGGAGTAACATATCCTTTTTTTCGATAGTCGACAGAGTCTGGGACTCTGCCTTCCCACTCTGGAGTATACAGAGTGTCATTACTGTAGGAACGTGAGGGTGGTACTCGGAGTCCAGTCATCTTCTGAATCACTTCTTCGCTGGTCTGAGACAAAAAAAGGACACCAAGCATTAGCAGGGACAGACCAGGGTAAAGACAGTGGGTGGGCCTGGATCTGGGAGGCAACTCACCATGTCTCCCAAGTGATTCATGGCCAGTTCATATGTATGGACACCAAGAGAGGCCTCAAGATTATGGATGGAGATTTGCTTCAGGTTTTTTTCCCAAATTAAACGCCGAGAAATTTCATCCACCTAAACAGGATAGTCAGTCAGTTTGTAGAGTGTGTGGATATAGAGGTGGTTTTAGAAGAAAGCATGCTACATAAACAGAAAACATTTACAATCTGACTGGTGAACTAGACAAGATTAAGAGTACACATACAAAACTTATGCAAAGGTCTAGAGAGACCATAGAGTAACGGCATTAGTATGAGAAGTATTCCTGGGCTGGAGAGATGGCTCAGTGGTTAAGAGCACTGACTGCACTTCCAGAGGTCCTGAGTTCAAATCCCAGCAACCACCACAACCATCTGTAATGAGATCTGATGCCCTCTTCTGGTGTGTCTGAAGACAGCTACAGTGTATTCATATATAATAAATAAATAAATCTTTAAAAAAAAAAAAGAGAAGTATTCCCTAAAAGAGCTATCCCTACGTACATACCACACAGGCCCATCTATGGTACTGGGTATTGGACTCAGTCCCTTGTACATGCTAGACCAGTGATCCATTCCTGAGTTACCCCTCCAGCTAAAACATGTGGGAAACAGAAGGACTGAAGCACAGAAGTAAAAGCGAGCTGCAGAATTAGAGAACAGAGACTACTTCCTTGGGATAAAGCACTCAAGTGTTACTGAAGGGAATCTAGATGCTAAAGCAGAAGTCCCACATCCAAGCCCCCTATGTGCTCCCCTTGCAGACCCCTGGGCACCTTGCTGTTATACTGCTTCCTGTGGGTCTTCTTCCATAGCTCCCACTGGGTGTCCAGCATTTCCTCCGGGTATAGAGCAAAGCTCACCATGGGTAGCAGCAGAAACTTTAACACCCACATCCTGGTGAAAGGAATAATTAGGGGAGATTTCCACTGGCAGAAATTCACAGGTGGCTTCAGATGTGCAAATGGTAGCAGGCAAGTTACCAGAAAGTGGCTTTTAATCTTTTAAGAACTTTAAAAATAAATTTTCTACCAGAAAATTGTATACACACACACACACACACACACACACACACACACACAAATCCTAAGGGATTCATAAACCCAAAAGAACATCATGTACAGACACACTCGAAGAGACACACACTTTCATTTTAGAGATAGGGTCTTGTTATATAAGTCTTTGCTGGCCTTGAGCTCACTATGTTGACCAAAATGGTGTTGAATTTAAAGATCTACCCCCCCTCCACCCTGTGCCAGGATTAAAGGTGTGAGCCACTATGCCCAAGAATCCTTTCTTTTGAACTACAAGACAGGCACAGTTGGCTGTATATGGAAAACAAGGAATTGCAAGCGATTTTCATTTAAAGCAGACAGAAGCTGGGGGAGGTACTGGATCATGTGACTTCAATCCGGGATGTTCCGCCAACACTGCACACACTTTAGACAACCACAGTGGGGAGAAGTAACTGGGAAAGGCTCGGTGGCTCTCTTCCCCAGTACCTCCAGTAAGGGTGCAAATGGACATAATAAACATAGAGTGGTTACAGAGCCAGAGTTCTAGCTAGTTTGCTTCACACTTTGTCCATGGTATTCTTCCTTGCCAGGAGAGAACAGGTCCATTTCGATAGTATTTATCTATGATTCATTCGCTGTATCTTTATTTGCCTTATCCACTTTTTTCTTTCCACCTCCTCTCCTTCAGGCAGGAAATGGCTCTAATCTTAACCAGATGTCACGGGTAAGTAGTTTTTCTTTTTTTTTCCCCCCAAACAGTGACGTGGCTGCTTTATTAAAAAAAAAAAAAAAGCCTCAGACATGTTAAGTGGAGATGGAGGATGGAAGGACAATATTCCGTAATGATCAAATTCACAGCTCCAGCTTTCCAGGCATTTCTTGTGTTGGCTTAATTGCAAGTTCTTAAGTTTAAAAACCACTTCCTCTCACCAGCACATCATATGACTTGTGCAACACTGACTACACTTTTATGGACTCTCTGCAAGGCAACAGAATATCCAGCAGAACATTTAGTAACTGGAGTGTTACAGGCTTGGAGGTGATTGTTAATTATTCTTCCTCAGGAATTGGTTAGTTAACTCTTAAGTTAAACAGAACTCAGAAAGAGCCCACTTTTGAAACAGGCTTACAGAATACTCTTCTTTTGCTTTTACCAACAGCCACATATTCATTCACATATGAAATCCTAAATATTTCCAGACATATTTACCCAAAAAATAAACTAAGATTATGTTGTCATTCAGAGAACTTACATTATTTGATCCCCGATTCACTATATTCTTTCTCTTCTTAAAATAAGGTTAACTGGTAAGAACGAGATGCTAAAAGATCCAGAAATTAAGAACGTTACCTGCTGTTGAGAATCTGTTGTTTGGCTCTTTTCAGACAGGAAGTGTAGCTACTGTGAGCGGAAGACTAGGAGTGCTAGATTTATTCTGTAAGGATTGCGGAAGTAGACTCCAGCAGTGGCTGGAAAATTTGGATAAGGGAGGGAGTCAGGGATAGGATGAAAAGGGGGAAGGGAGTTAGGGAGGACGGACACACATGTGCACAATGTTTGTGTGTGTGTGCAGTTATCATACACCAGTGTGGATAGCTGCTAAGTGTTTAGTTTCATCTGACTGTCTTTGGGGGCAATAATAAGACAGCACACTATTCAGTTGAGGCTTTGGTGGGGAGATGAAAGAACACAGCCCTAGTTAACTCCATCCTCCCTCAAAATGTCTTACTGACAATTTCCATCTTTTCAACCTTTCTCGTCCTGACCCACCTCCTTACCCTGAACTGTTTCCAACGTTGTGTCAGATCCTCTTCTGAGATGGGGGTAGGGTGGGGATCAAAGGCTAGAAATGTAAGGCTCTAATTTAAACATTTAAAAAAATTTTGTGACTGTTGGCTATAAACTGCTCCTGGGCAAGGTGTAGTTTTTCTCACCCATTATGGCTTCGCAGAGAGAGGAGCTGCCCACAAAGTCCAGGTGAAATGGCTTAAAAGTGGCCAGAAAGTAGAGTGTGTGTGACAGTACAGTAATCCCAGCTACTCAGGAAGCTAAAGCAAAACCATAGCTGGCTGTGGGCACACCTCTGTTCCCTCCATACACACACTGGGTGGCAGGGGAGGATGGTTCTCCTGAGGTTAATGCCAGATCAGTCTACAGAGTGAGTCTGAAGCCAGCCGGGGCCATACAGAGAGATGTCATCTCTAAGTAAGTAAGAGCATACTTAAAAGTCCAACCTAGGCTAGGCAATTTAGTGAGATCCTGTCTAAAACTAAAAATGGCTGGACCCCCAGCCCAGGAATGGCACCACCCACAACGAGCTGGGCTCTCTTCCATCAACCATTAAGAAATGCTCTACAGGGCTGGAAAGATGGCTCAGCAGTTAAGAGCACCCGATTGTTCTTTCAGAGGTCCTGAGTCCACCAACCACATGGTGGCTCACAACCATCTGTAATGGGTTCAATGCCTTCTTCTGGTGTGTCTGAAGACAGCGATAGTGTACTCACATACAATAAATAAATAAATAAATAAATAAATAAATAAATAAATAAATGGAGGATAAAAGTAATTTACAAAAAGCTGAAAGAGGACTGAGGAACGTAACTCAGTGATGGTGGGCTTTCCTAACATTATGAGGCCCAAGGATTAACACCCAACATAACAGTAAAGATGGACAGACAACTGACCCAATGTAGCACCTGTTTATAACACTTGAATCTATAATGGATACACGTGACTTTACTGCTAAACTCTCAGGTGGTAGAATGTCTGATGAGTACTGTATCTCAATCATTAAAATCCCAAACTAGGTCCAGTCACAAGAATGTCCAAGAGCTTCCCCAAAATCCAGGCATGTGACAAGTCATAAGAATCTAGTTTGGCCAACCACACTCCCAAACTCCATTTACTTCCATAAACACATGTGAGGAATTAGGAAATAAGGGACTCTGGATTCCTAGCACAGACCCCAGGATTTTAGGAGTTATCAATGTTACCATAGGAGTAGAGAGAGCACAGGTTCACATCTGAACTGTTTATAAAGTTCACAATCCTTTTGTCTCCTTTTAACTGGGAGAACATACTGGGGAAAGACATCAGGATGTCTCATAGTGGCTTCAAATCCAAGAACACTCCCCAGCAACTTCTGCGAGATGAGACAACCCCCACTCCCAGACAGTGTGAGCAGTAGTCTGACTACTCACGATGTGTCAGGAGCAGGTGGGTAAGGAACAGGCTGCCGAGTCATCAGGGCCCTGTGAGCTCTGACTCCTGAAATGAAGACTCAGCTACGCTGTGCTTGTGTGTGCAGAGGTCACTTATGAATGTTTAGTTGTGCGTGTCTGTAATGGGGTCAGGGAGCCGCAATCAATATCACACAACACAACACACTTTATAAAAGAAAAAATACTTTGTTTTAAAATCTTTGCTACATGTCATTTTTGCCACTGTTAAGGCTTAGCACAGATGGCCAACAAGAAAAAACAATCAAAAATAAAACCCTGAAGGAAAAGCAGAACAAACCCCTCAGAGAAGCTTCTCCCTCCCCACCCTTCTCCAAAAGCCCTGTAATAACTGTACATTATAGTTCAGATCACATTTAAAAACAAGTTGATTATTAAAAAACAAGTATTTCATTGGAAACCCAACTTTTTGGTTCAGTAAAATGTGATATAAATATATATGTATACTGTATGTGTGCACATCGAATAAAAAAATAGCCTCCTTTTCACCTCATTGCCTGGCACCAGACTGGAGACAAACAGAGGGAAACTTAGTAACATTCCCTCAGTCTCTCCATGAGCCTCTCCACCTGGACTCTTCATCCTCCATCAATACACATAATAGATCTCTTCCATATTAATTTAATCTTTGACAGGAGCCAGTTTAAGAAAAAAAAAAAAAGGCTACTGATCTAGGAGACTCACCTGAGGACGGAAAGGGGGAAAGCAGTAACCTGCATCTGCATTTCTATGGCTATAAGTATCAAGTGCCCCAGCTGGGATTGAAGTCCACCTAACACATTTGTGCTCTAAAGCAAAACCCAATTTCAAGATTGGAGAAGGAACAAAGAACACTGAACTTCAGAAGACCTAAAGTTGTTTTGGTGACAGGAAGGAGAGGCTACTGTGCAAGAGGGCTTTCTATTTGGTTTACACACTCATTAGTCAGGACTTCCACTCAATATAGCTAATCCAAGAAGTTGAGTTTCCATGCAGAAATAACCTCTCCAGAACATGTGACTCTGTCAGAAAAATGCAGCATTATCCTTATGGGCAAGTCTGGGATTTCTGACAGTGTTTATACAGCCAGCCTATTTTGGTAATATCTGCAGATCTTCCCAATAAGTTGAAAGCACCAAAGAGCAGGAGTAATCCAGCGTAATCCCTGGATGTGTCTGTGTTAGACCAACCCTATCAACAGAAAGCTGGGTGTTGGCTTACAGTTCCATTTTGGCTGGATATGGATTTAAGTGCAGCAAAGACTTAATTTAAATACTCTTTGGCCGCAACACTAAATAGAAAAATACCTGGAAAAATTAATTTTCTTAGGATACTTTGAAGAGCAAGCAGAAAGACAAAAAAAAAAAAAAAATCTGGGACAAATTTTGCATATACTCTCTAATAGGGATAAAGAGCTTAAATGTTCTCTCTCTCTCTCTCTCTCTCACACACACACACACACACACACACACACACACACACACACTCTCACGTTCATGCTCTTTCAGGTCTCTTTCTGGAGACTGCTCACTTCCTAAGGCTCCACACACACCCTCACACCCTACCATTCCATGATCCTCAGTTATGAGGGTATTTCTCTTCTCCTCCACTCTATTCAGAATTTCTATCCAAACAAGCCACAATATCCAATTAGTGGCTGTCAGATTCTTCTATTCTGCACCTTGACTCCAGTACAAATCATTTCTGTGCAACTTCTGGTCAAAAGATATAAGGACAGGAATTCTAACCTCAACTATCCTCAAAATTTCAGAGGATCCTAAAAGCCTGGGTAATTAATTTCTTCTATAACGTTACTTCGAGAGTCAAGGGGTGAAGGGGGTACATATCAGGGGTGAGGGAAGGGAGAGGAACTTTTATTCTGTTTACAAAAGATTTGCTTTTAAAAACAAACAGTGACTTCCCCCACCCTTATCCTCACCCCAATAGTTCTATTCGGAAAAGGGGGGAAACATAGTTAGATCAGGAAACTCTTCATTGTTGTAGCTGTTGCTCTGGTCTCCCAGCATGGACAGCATTTCCTAATGAGAAAAAGGTTAGACTTGGGTCACATACCCTTATTTTAGTGAGTTCCCTCCCAGCACCCCCTACCCCCACCCATACCACCACCATTCCTGAGCCGCATAAGTCTGGATGCGGAGTTCTCTCAGCCTTGCTCTTCTGAGAACTCACTCCTTACCTCAGCCTCTTTCCTCAACTCTGTTCCAACTTCCTCCTAAGTTCCTTTATTTTCCTCTTTTCTAGTCCTCAATATTTTCAGTGGAAGAAATATGCATGCCAACATTTCATTTAACCCCTACAGGTTTATCTGAAATGTACCTAATCACATTTGTGTTCAACATAACCCTATGTTGCCTTCTTTTGGTCTTTCTGACTAGCTTCTCTAAAATGACCGCGTTCAATCTGTAGTCCCCTCAAAGGAAACAGATACCTATACCTATAATCAGTATGTCCTACTTCATATATTTTTGTATTATACTATTTAAATCCATAACTACTTTGAGATGTAAATCTCTGTATAAGAGTTAAAATAATTTTCTTCAGCATTTTTACATGTTAATTCACATCAGTAACTTTGCCTGGTCTAGTTAAAGCTTGTTTATAATTGCTTCAATCACTGACTTGTATCCTTTCTGCTTCATCTTGTACAACCCTAACCAATACCATATGCTTCTTTCTCCCTCTCTTCCCTGACTTCTCTCTCTGAAGTCTTTATCTACTCACTTGAAAGACTTCAGGCTGGCTAGGTGCTTGTGCTGCCGTCTGCTGAACATGCTGCTCATTGGAACTAGACCGATGATGGGGCTGTTGGCCCTGCCACTGTGGCCAGACACCCACACCCTCTGCTGTCCGAGTCTGGAACTGTCCTGGTGTCTGCCCAGTCTCAGGAGCTAGACATAAGGATAAACATTTATAGTTTTAATGGAGAGGAGAAACCAGCATACAACTACACATAAGGCAGTAACCTCCATACGATACCTTCTGCTCTTCTCTCTGCTAGTCAATGGCACTTCTATTTCAAAACTCAGCCTCACATTAAGTTTCATTCCCTAGATAGCGTTTCTGATGGATTCTTTGTTCATTTACATATGCAGTCTATTAAGTATATTATTATATATATTAAGTAATACTGCTATAAATATTAAAATAATTCACATGGCTTAATAATTCACAGGAGTTAAAATGGTTTTCTATAGCATGTTTTTATAAGGATTTTTGAGATTCTTCCTGCTTTGAGTATGGTGCATGTGAGCTTGTGCACTGTGTGGCTCATGGTGGAGGAATCATCTCTTTCCTGTACATGGATTCTGGTGGCCAAACTCAGGTTATCAGGTTTGTGTGTCAAGCACTTTGCCCAATGAGCCATTTCAACAGGCTCTGTGTAAGTTTTTTTAATTTCAAACAGGCCTAGGCCATATATTTCCTTACAATTTGCTCAGTACATATAGGACATGGGGAAACAATCATAACTATCAAGTCCTCCTTCTTTCGTAGTTGGGTTTTCCTGTTCTCTTCCTTGTCTGCACTTACGAAAGTTGGATCCACGGTTGGGCAGAGTAGGGTAGGCAGCAGTGCCGGGTGAGGCAGTGGGAGCGCTCGGAAGAGACATAGCACTGAAGGAGGAAGGTGTCTGAAAGTTGTTCACACCAAATTGGGAAGAACGAGTCTTGGCTGTAGCCTGGGTGGGCACCTGCTACAAAAAACAGGGATACAGAAGAAGGGAATATTAATTGTGCACTGCATTCCTAGAAGTCAATACCCATCAACCACTACATTCTTCCAAGCACAACCTATTACCTGCCTCTACCTGTAAACTTCTGATTAACTCCCAATTCCTCCTAAAACTAACTTTTTTAGACAACTAGATAAAAGTGAAAAAGAAAAAAAGAATTATCTCACTATATGGCCCAGGTCCATGCTCCTGCCTCAGCCTCTTTGTTGAAATTAAAACTGTACTTTGTCACACCCACTTATACTGTTTATTAAGAAACTAGTTATTGCCTCTAACATTTTTGAGAAATAATTTCTAGAGACCACAAATACCACAATTTTAAAAGGAACTCCTTAGGGAGACAATATATGCATGCCTGATTGAAAACCATGATGTAACTGTCTTCAATATCACTATACATCCTGGCCAATAAAGTCATGGATGACCTTCCTGTGTATTTTTACACACATGCATACATGTACACAAAAGCTGTATAGAGAACAATTCTAGAGCCAGGTTTGAGTTTTCACTTTTTTTAAAACTTTTCTAAATTATTATTTATACAAGAGAAATACACAGTAATAGATATGTCTAACATATTTACTATATATTGTATAGATGGATGTTATATTTTCATAAATAAATGAATATAATTACTAATTTTCTACTTTGGACTGTATTACACAGTCCTAAACAAAGACAAACTCTTTGAATTTACTCCAAAAAGCCTGAAATCAAAGCTATTCAAACTATTGTGAATGACCAATTCTGAGTATATGAAAACCATAGGCTCTAATGAGATTTCTGAAGTTATCTCTGGTATTTTAATTATCTGGCTGCTCTCAAAAAAGATGAAAATTAAAAGATGAAGAACAGGAATTGAAAAGGAGATATTTGACAATAATAAATTTACCTGTAGGAAAAAAAGACCCCAAAAAACAAACAACAACATACAGGGTCAGATAGATAAGAGGCGCTACCTGGGCAGAGAAGCTGGGGCGGGAGCTAGAGGTCCAAGTTGGTGCTGATCCCTGGGTAGGGTTGGAGTGCCGAGAAATCTGGGCCAGTATCTGCCCTGCAGATGATGATGGCTGGACAATGGTTACAGGAGGGGTAAGACCACTACTCCTAGGAGGGAACAAATAGAAAAGTGAAGGTTAAAAGGTAACTCAATCACAGAAGCTATGAATCAAAGGACAAACTCTATCCCTAGATTCCTCTGACTTCTTGGCGTTAAGGAAAACCTGATAAATTTAAAAACACAAGAAAGACTGACAGTCACGCACTGATCACACAGAGAGATGGGACCTAGAGCAAGGCAACAGAATAGGTGCAAAAAACAGGAGGAAAAAGCGGCTTCTTTGTCTCACCCTAGGTCCAGTAAGTTCTACTGCTTTATCTGAAGTGACCAGAAAGCAAGGGAAGAATGACATGTAGATTCAGCAACTGAATCCGCAGAGCCCTGTCAAGCAGCACACACATATGGGGCTCACCTGAAATTTTCTGCCGGCCGGGGGTTAGGAGGGAATGAGTTGCCCTGGGAGAATAGCTGTTGGGTGGCAGGGACAGTGCTGGAGGAGATGCCTTTACTCTGATCTGTAGACCAAAAGGAGTTGGGGGAGGGCCATCAAGGGGCTGTAGCATATAGTTTAATAAATTCCTATTTATTCATGAAGTACTGTAATTTAAGTGGATGTATGTTGATTGGGCAGTCCCATCAGTAATAATCAAATTCAGCCTGTAAAAGGAGTCTGCGGAAGAAACCCGTACCTGCACTGATGTTGGGATAGATTTCTGGAAACCTTGGATCTCTGTCCTGAGCAAAGAGACCTTCTGACTTCTCAAGGGGCTTACTGTGTTCTGATCCTGCAGTTGCCACAGGCTAGACAGAAACCCATGGAATAAAATAGTAAAAACAATCAATAATGCTCAATTTTATATAGAACAAACATTCTCACTGGCACTGATAAATACTGTTAAGATTTATTTTTGTGTTTTTAATTATGTGTATGTGTCTATGTACATGAACACAGCAGTGTCTACAAAGGAGCTAATGTTACAGGTGGTTGTGAACCACCCACTGAGGTTACTAGGAATTCGAACTTGGGCATCTCCAAGAGCAGTACTATCTTAACCACTACACTACTCTGGTAGCCTCGAGATACATTTTAAAAAAATGTTCACTGTCTCCTTATAGGAAAAAGGTATATACTCACCTGGGAATGATTATAGCTCGCCAGCCCATCTCTTCCTGGCACCATATCCAATTCTGTTTGCTGCTGCTGCCTATATGTCAAACAACAGTGTGGAAAGCGACAGAGGAAAAGGAGATTTTAACAAAGAATTGAGAGAAAAGGACTTTAAAAAATGAACCACATGCAGTAACAACAAAAAATGTGATTGCACATCACCACATCTAGCTAGTAATTGCTTGAAAGGTTATTTCACGATTTCTTACCTGGATACCAGCTGCCCTGTACCCATCTCTAGGGGTAAATTGGCTGTCGGACCTAGCTGTGACCTCTGGATTGTGTTAGACAGTGTAGGCCGTGGTTCCTGGCTGGAGTTCCTAGGAAAATAGAGTAGACAAGAACACAAAAGGGGAAACAAGGAACAACTCAATACAATAAACTCCATATACTGACCACAAGGTGAGCAACTACTAATAGATCTTAGCCCAGTCCCACAGGTAACCTATGTACTCAGTGATGCTTTTATAGAGTTTTTGTCTCATATTGCTCTGTTCAGGCATTTTTTGTCTTATTGGGTCTTTTGTTTATATATTTTGGTTTCTGTTTCTCTCTCCCTCAGGTGTGTGTGTACGCGCATGTGTTTAAGAGAGAGAAGAAAGGCAGGCCATGGAGTTGAGTAGGTGGGAGGATCTGGAAGGAGCTAGAAGGGGCAAGTGTGACCAGAATATATTATATAAAAATTTACAACAAGCAGGGCAGTGTTGGCGCACGCCTTTAATCCCAGCACTTGGGAGGCAGAGGCAGGCAGATTTCTTGAGTTCGAGGCCAGCCTGATCTATAGAGTGAGTTCCAGGGCAGCCAGGGCTACAGAGAGAAACCCTGTGTTGAAAAAAAAAAAAAAAAAAAACCCAAAAAGCAAAAAACAAAGTCCATATAATGGAGTATTGATTCACACCACCAGCAACAAACTATCACATGATGAACCAGGAAAGTAGTCAGACATACAAAGGAACCACATTCTGTGATTCAAGTGGTATCTCTAAAGTAAGCAGATTTATAGAGACTGTATACTAGACATTTAAGACTTCAGAGGCAAGGAGAGAATGGCCAATTTTAGTGGGCTGAGGGTTGGAGTAGGAATGCAAATGTTCTGAAAATAGATGGTTCTAACAGTTGAACAACTGTGTAATGAACTAAAAACTGTCTGTGTAATGGGTAGGATACACAGCCTGTGCAGTACATCTCAAGAAACTGTTTTAAAAAGTTTCAAACTAGGGGCTGGAGAAATGGCTCAGTGGTTAAAAGCATTTCCTGTTCTTGCAAAGGACCCAGGTTTGGTTTCTATTACCAATGTGGCTTCTCATAAACGTCACCAACTCTAGCTCAAACAGGTACGTAGTGCAGACATACATGTAGGCAAAATGCTCACACATGCCAAAGAAAATAATCTTTAAAAAATTAAAGGAAAGAAACAAAGCTGAAACATTGGCATGGTGGTGCACACCTGAAATCCTAAAACTCATGAGGTAGAAGAAAAATGGTCTCTGTGAGTTCAAATCCAGTTTTGTCTAATGAGTTTCCAATCATCCAGGACAACATAGAGACCCTGTCTAAAAAAAGCCAAGCCAAACCAGACAAGACCACAACTAACAAAAAGCTTAGAGAAAGGAACAGGAATGAGTAAGGTGAGATGAGACCATGCTCTGCAGGAAGTTCTGATCCATGGATAACGGTAACCCACTGCCTGCTTTATATGTACAGACGGTGAGAGCACAGCCGTGCTTTCTGAGCCTGTTTCATACAGCAGAGTTGAGGAGCTGCAAGTAAAGATGATACGGTCCACTCATGGCTGAAATCTTTATTATCCCATCCTTCATAGAAAAGTTTGCCCAACTTTGTTTCAGATGAAAATCCTCCTAGACTAGAGCAAAGTATTGGTAGATAAAACAAAATCCTGGAGCCAAGTGGCACACACCTTTAGCTCCAGCACTCAGGGAGGTAGGTAGTTATCTGTGAGTTCAAAGCCAGCCTGGACTACAAAGTGAGACCCTGTCTCAAAAACAAACAAACATAAAACCCTCCCCAAAATCATGAAGTAGGGAAACAACTCAATAGTATAGCTCTTTGCCTGTTTTCTGTACAAACCCCTGGGTTTGACCATCAGCAGTACAATAAATTAATTAATTAAGAAAAAGTAAAATTATTAACAAAATAGATAAAATGAGAACCTGAAATGAGAACCTTTCCATCTTAAGAACCAATCTTTCAACTTTACTTGCAATCTTTTAGGAAAAAAAGTTATAAGCACACTGCAGTGGGCAGCAGGCTGGGGAGTGGGCTGGACACTGCCCACAGCACTGACTACTGTTGCTTATTCACACTTACACTACCATGAGCCAATGAGATGGCCTGGTGGGAAACGTGTCAGCCAACAAACAGCTGACAACTTGAATCCATGCCTGCGACCTACTTTGTAAAAGCAGGGAGCCACTTCTGCATGGTGTGCTCTGATGCTCATACATGCTGTTACATGCCCATGCAACATACACAAGTTACTAAATAGATGTCAACAGCAACTAAAACCCACCTTGTTCCCTACCTCAACTATATCAACTCCTATAGAAAGGAATTTCAAACTGGTGGTATTTAGTAAGTCCAAGCTGAAGAGAAGATAGCATGATAAAGCTAAGATTTGCCCCACTGCACCCCCACCCTACCCTAGGAGTGGCTACAGGACGAATAACCCAACAGAGAGAAAAGACTGAAGGGTACATACTTCACATTGGTGTTGGTGCAGATAATATACTCAATTTCATCTGAATAAGGGTTTTGGAAAGTAAAGGAGCTCGTTCTCATCCACAGCCATTCTCGGTTCTTAGATCGGAATCGGAACATGACAGACAGCACCTGGCCTTTTAATTTCACCACCTGAAAGGGTTTTCATCCATCAGTGGACTTAAAAAAAAAGAAAATTAAGTAATAATCTTGCCATGTTGACAACCTTAGGACTCGTGTTGCTGCCCATGAAGCACCAGTCTTTTTCACTGTTCCAACAAGAAAGAGGAGATGAAGGGGGGGCATAAATCTATCAGGTATCTTCCCAGAGCTGCAGTCTGTATGACTGTATGATTAGAGGGAGCACAGAAGCGACTGTCTCCATGTTTCCTTTGAAGTTTGCTGCAGACATATTCAATGAACGGCTTTGTAAATTAGTACCAGGAATTCCAGGTGGGTGACACTAAATATACTTTACACTTATTAATCCCAGCTCTTCAAATCAAAACTTAAGAGAATACAAGTATTTTAAAGAGTTCATGCCTGAAAATTATAGCTACTTACAACTGCATAACTTTCAATTACATATAAAAGAATTCTGAGACAATTTTCCTGCTATAATCTAAAATAAGATAGTAAAGCAGATAATATTTTAAATGCTTTGAAAAGAATTTACTGGATAAAGGCAAAGCAGAAATACCTTGGACTTTGTCTAGTTTCAAAGTATTATCATTTTATATTTCTTAGAAATTAAGATAAGTATAAAGAAAAGTATAGTATCCAGCACAGTGCTTAACTGAACACTGATCAGTAAGTATCTAGAATAAACTTGAAGAATTGATCAAAATATGTACTTAGAACCAAACCATAAAAAAAGTGTTACCTGCTGAAAGCTGTCTCTTAGAAGTTGTTGGTCTTCAGGATGACAAAATTCTACAATATTCTTTCCTAAGAGCTCCTAGAAGGGAGAGAGAGAAGTAAAACATACACTTCTTATGGTCATCCCGCCTTCCCATCGGCTAGAGATGTGAATGTTACCTCTTCTCTCTATCCTACTATAAATAGGTGTATGGAGAAAAAGGTAAACAAAAAGAAAACAAGAGAGAAGAAGCAGGGCCAGTAGATGGTTCAGTGAGTCCTGCCATGAGCCCGATGCCCGAGTCCATCTCTGGAACCCATGCTGGGGGGACCTGACTCTTGCGAGGAGTCCTCTCAACCACACTTGCACTCTATGGGTCATGTGTGCTTGTAGAATGTAATGGAATAATTAATTAGAGATAAAGAGGTTTTTCCTCACAAAATCATTTTACCAGCTCTCTCTCTTTATCCACCCCTCCAAAGATTTATTTATTTATTATATGTACATGAATACACTGTCACTGTCTTCAGACACACCAGAAGAGGGCATCAGATCCCATTACAGATGGTTGTGAGCCACCATGTGGTTGCTGTGAATTGAACTCAGGACCTTTGGAAGAGCAGCCAGTGCTCTTAACCGCTGAGCCATCTCTCCAGCTTTTACCAGCTCTCTTAATGATATCATTTTAGAGAAAACTTTTGCCTGGTAATTTTGCTAAAATTTTTGGTGGCATACACTCATCTCAGCATCCTAGGCTAGGACAGAAAGATTTCTAGTTTGAGGCTAGCCTAGGAAAAGATGGATTTTGGGAGGAGTAGAGGGATGAAAAGAGCTAAACCTGTAGAAAACATTAGAGGGCCTGAGTGTGGTTCTTAGAATATACATTTTCAAACAATGTAGAAAAAAGGAGCCGGGCGGTGGTGGCGCACGCCTTTAATCCCAGCACTCGGGAGGCAGAGGCAGGCGGATTTCTGAGTTCAAGGCCAGCCTGGTCTACAGAGTGAGTTCCAGGACAGCCAGGGCTATACAGAGAAACCCTGTCTCGAAAAACCAAAAAAAAAAAAAAAAAAAAAAAAAAGAAAAAAGGTCGGGGTGGGACAGAGCAGGAGAGATGGCTCAACCCCTAAAACTTGCTTTTGCCAAGAACACATACCAGACAGTTAAAAATGAAGAATTAAGTTGGGAAATTCACAATCCCTGATCCAATACTTCCAGTAAAGCAGTTGCTATCAAAAGTGCTATGACCACCTAGAATTCAGTTCCAGGAGACCCAACACATTCTTCTGGTCTCTGTGGTGCCAGGTAAACACACGGTATACATTCATACATTCAGGTACTCACATATAAAGATAAAATAAAAAATAGCCAGGCCTGATAGTGCACATTTTAAATCTCAGCACTTGGGAGACAGAGGCAGGCAGAGCTCTTGAATTAGAGGTCAGCCTAGTCTACATAGAGAGCTCCAGTACACCCAAAGCAACATAGTGAGATGCTGTTTCAAAAATAAAAATAAAAAAATAAAGTCAAGTGTAGTATATTCTCATAATCTTAGAGTAACCAGACAAGTGGATTATGGGAGCTCAGTGGCCAGCAACCTATACTATTGGGTAAGTTCTAGGTCAATGGGAGATCTTGCCTCAAAACAAAAAGATGATAGCAGCTGGTGAACCCCACCCTCCCAAGGTGTGCTGAGGCCTTCTCACCTATGAGCACAAAGATTTTCTTCTAAAAGGTGTTTTCAACTTTAGGACTTATACATTTAGAGCTTTGAGTTGACTTTTGTCTATAGTATGATAATTTTTAAGGGTGTTGGTGGTGATGTATGTAGAATATGACATCTACACTACCATTTGTTAGATCTTTTTCCCTTGAAATTGTCTAAGCACCTTTGCTGAAAATCCAATTACCAATGTAAAAAACGGCTCTTTACCCTACTCATCAGACTAGATCATTACATCAACACCACACTGTCTTGTTAACAACAGCAAGTGCTGGGTCTAGGTGTAAGTAAACCTTCCAACTTAGTTCTTCACTTTCAAGATAACTTCTTGACTGACCATTTCACCATTTCATTAGCATAGCCAGGCTAATATAGATAACAGAGACCATGTAAGTCAGGGGGAGTTAACTGGTCTACACTATGAGAATTTTAATAACCAGTGCTACACTTACATTTATTACAGGCTATTATTCCATTAGTAATTACATAAATTACTAAAATATAGTTATTATATAAATTCTAGTTACACTAGAATAATTAAAATAAGGAGTTTTAAATTATCTGTATTGATGTTAGTAACAAAAACTATATATTTATACTATTTCCATATGGTTTTTTCAAACTATTTCCTACATTGAGTGATAGCATTGGTAGAAGTTCAACTAGATTTTGCTACTAACAAAGTAGAAACAAAGTAGAAGCATCTCTCTTTCTGAACTGGACTGCTATATCTTGGTCATCTCTGGAATTAGAAGGCCATGTAACCTCAACACTGGTAACAGAAAACAGCGGCCTAAGTATTAATAATGCAGAAGCTATACTCCTTACCTGTGGCTGGTAGCCAACAGTAGCCACACAACGATGATCTACAAAAGTGAATATCCCTTCAATGTTGTGTCGGGAGATGAATTCTGCTGGCTGACAAATGTTACTCATGTCTGTACAGTTGGGAGAACTAGTTACCTAAGAGAGGAGAGATAAAAATGAGCCAAAATAATAATACCATTAGTTACATAAATATTTTTAATATCTCCATGAGTATCTGTGTAGATATGAAACCAACCAGATTTAGAAACGTCTTAGAAGTTTCACCCAGAAATGCAAAAATGTCAATCCCAATGACAGGCACAAAGTCTAACTCTAATCCTATACAAGTTCTCTCAGCAAGTTGGCAAAGTAAGAAAATACTGAATGTAACCCTAAACCACCTACTTTTTATTTGGGTAGCCTGTGTTCATTATTCAGAGGTTCAAGTTTCTGAGAAACTTAACTGTGTTCATGAAATAATCAAAATCTACGGCTGGAGAGACGGCTCAGTGTTAAGAGCACTGACTGCTTTCCAGAGAACCTGAGTTCCATTCCCAGAATCCATATGGCAGGTCACAACTTTCTGGAACTCCAGTTCCAGGGGATTCAGTAACAGCTTCTAGCCTCTGCAGGCACCAGGCATGTACATGGTGCACAAACATACATGAAAGCAAAACACCCATAAACATAAAATAAAAACTTTAAGATATTTGAAAATCTATTGTAAAGCATGTAATAATAAAAATGATTGTTCTTACTTTGCAAAGGTACAAAAGAAATTAATTGGAAATAGAAAAGTTAAGTACTATAAAGCTAAAAATAACAATGTCAAGGGAGCCTGGCATGGTGACTGATGCCTCTACTCCCAGCATGCAGGAGACTTTAGTAGGAGGATCCCTTGAACCAAGGAGCTAGAGGCCTAAGGTAACACAGGGAAGAGTCATTAGCAATATCAACAACAAAAAGATTACCTCCCTCTCTCATGCTCTTGATTTTAGCTAAATCTGAGAGTAAAAATGTTTATTATAAATATCATTATTATGCTGCACAGTGGTGGTACACGCCTTTAATCCCAGCACCTGGGAGGCAGGCAGATTTCTGAGTTCAAGGCAAGCCTGGTCTACAGGGTGAGTTCCAGGACAGTCAGGGCTGCACAGAGAAACCCTGTCTCGAAAAACCAAAAGTAAATAAATAAATAAATAAATAAATATCATTATTATTTTAGATCTTGAGTTTCGTGGAATTTTCCTATGTATTCACAGAGCAAAAGATAATTAACACAAATAAAATCCAAAAAGTTTTTTTTTTCCTAAACTGAAAGGACATATATGTGAAGACTCATACTTGCCTGCAGCCTGCCAATGGCCACTAGGCAGAATTTGCTCCCCTGGCCAGCCTCTGGGTCATCATCTGGGAGGGAGACACCTTCATGAAGAAAAAGGAGAATGACTCAGAGAGATCACAAATTCAAATCCCTTTAAAGGTAAGTCACTGAAGACTCACTAATATATCTTCCTATGAAAATGCTAACTATAAAACAATCAATTTAAAGATAATCAGTTATACAGAATTTATTAATATATATTAGTCACTGTTTCACGTGTGTGCACTTGTGCATGTGCGTATAATCTGGACTCTTAATCTTTCCCAATGCTGGATTACAGGCATATACTAGCACACCTGGCTTTAACCATTTTATTTTTAACAAATTTGAAAATGCAAGTTCCAAAGGAGTCTAAAAATAGAAATTTTACTTATGCTATGTGACTATATCACACATAGAGAAGACAACATTCCCGCCTAACCAGTGACTTTTAAAGTTAAAAAAAAAAAAAAAAAAAAAAAAAGTTGTCCCCAACACCAAAAGATATTCATTTCCACAGAAAAAGGGAAAAAGAGTTTATCCTTCACGACATTTGTATCTCCCATTTTTATCTAGGATAGCTATACAAAAGTATCAAAGATCATACATACAGTAAATGTATGGTTTATATAAGAAGTTAATGCAACAGTTCATGTGTCATTATGCATAATATTTCAAATTAACTTTTCTCAATCATATTAATTCCCATTTATTGGCTATAGGGCATATGCCAGGCACTGGGGTGTTTGTTTTCCTTACACTAAATCTAACTCACAACAATGATATAAAGGAAGTATGATCTTAAATTGCAGATGAAAAAATCCATGTAAAGATCAAGAAACTTACCATAGGTTAAACTATTCACATAATGTCAGAAAGCAAATGTTAAATTTTTTCCAAATCAATGTTAATTTCTTCTTAAAATATATCAATGGAGGCTGAGAAAAGACTCAGTGGTTAAGAGCACTGGCTACTCTTCCAGACAGGCTCAATTCCCAGCACCCACATGGCAGCTCATACAGCTCAATCCAGCCTGGCATATGCCCTATAGTCAATAAATGGGAATTAATATGATTGAGAAAAGTTAATTTGAAATATTATGCATAATGACACATGAACTATTGCATTAACTTCTTATATAAACCATACATTTACTGTATATATGATCTTTGATACTTTTGTATAGCTATCCTAGATAAAAATCCAGCACTATGAGACTGAGGTAAGGAGACTGCCTTGAGTTCATGGTCATAAACTAAAGACAAAGTCTGATCCTCACACCCTACCACTTTTGCTGCATCCCTTATTTAATCTCAAGTTAAAATAAAGCTACTCTACTCACATCTAACCTTTCCAGAGAAAACCTCCCTTTAAAGTTACTGTAATCAAGCCATTCCATTCCGTGCTCAAAGCTTCTCTTCCCTTTCAGTTTACCCAAATTAATTGCATTAAATACCAATGTTTCAAGCTGGGCATAGTGGCACACACTTTTGATCCTAGCACTTGGAACACAAAGGCAGGTGAATCTCTGTGAGTCTGAGGTCAGCCTGGTCTATATAAAGAACTCCAGGGTAGCCTGGAATACACTAAGACCCTATCTCAAATAAATAAAATAAAAAAATTTCCAGTGTTTTTTTTTTGTTTGTTTTGTCACAGCTATTTAAAGACATAGCATTCAGTGTATACTACTATTATACATGAGAATTATTTTAAACTATATTCAGTTACTGGCTTACTTGTTTTGTTCTGTTTTTTTTGGTCCCAACATAAACCAGACAAGTACTCTATTCCTGAGCTATGTTCTTAGCACTAATAACTGAATTCTATGCCACCGACAGTAGCTCATGCTTGGTAATTTGAGGAGGAGGTTGAGGTGAGAAAACTGCTGAAAATCAGGAGTTCTGGGCCAGAAATAAATAAGTATCTACTTTATACACGATATTACATACCATAAATATAGGAATAAGCATCAGTACTACATTTATTTTATGTGTGTGTGTGTTTGCTTGTGTGAATTTATGGACACCATATGAGTGAGTACAGGAACCTGCAAAGCCCAGAAGAGGGAGACAGATCCCAAGAAACTGGAGTTATAGGCAGTTTAAGCAACATGTGGGTTCTGAAAACTGATCCCAGGTTTTCTGCAAGAGCAGTAAGTGTTCTTAACTGCTGAGCCCTCTTTTCAGCTCCCAATAAAACATTAAAAAAAAAAAAAAAGGTTGAGTGGTGATGGTGCAGGCTTTATTTAATCCAGCACCTGGGAGGCAGAGGCAGATGGAAATGAGGCTAGCTTGGTCTGCAAAGCCTAAGCAGCCAGGGCTACAGAGAAGCCCTGTTTCAAAAACAAACAAACCTATAACACTTTGCAATAAAGCTAATATTGAGTCGTTTTTATGTTTTGGTAATCCATATGTGTAAATGGACTACAGCATTAGTAACAAATGAGAGGAAGTCTATTTTATCTCTATCTTTCTCTTAAGTTATTCTTAAGCACATTTCACAAAGGGGTATATAGCATGTGTTAACTGTTAATTAAACATTGCCAATTGTTTACGTACCCAAGTGTACCCAGAAAGAAACCACTCCACACTTTTCCATACCTGCTGGAGGCCAGGCCTTGATGTAGCCTGTGCAGTGGACTACCACAAAGTGAGGTTCTCCTTCCTTCACAGAGCCAAGTCCATTCCTAGAAGAGGTATAGGAATCAAGGGTGAGATTCTACAAAGGAAACCTATGTTTTAAAAGCATTCATTTATTTATTTATCCATTTATTACTGGTATGTGAGTGCAAGCACCACCTCAAATCTGTGAAGGTCAGAGGAGAACAACTCTGTGAAATCAGTTCTCTCCTTCCACCCTTTTGTAGATTATGTTTTGTAGCAAGTGCCTTTATCTACTAAGCCACTTTGCTGGCCCCAAAATACTTTGTTTTATTTTCATTTATTTTTTTTTTTATATTTGCTCATTTGTTTATACATGTCTGTATGTGTGTGGTAGTGTGGAGGTCAAAGGACAATCTGTGGGAGTCAGTTCTCTCTTAACATGTGAGCTCTCTAGGGATTAAATTCATTGTCAGGTCTAGGAGCAATCTCCTTTATCAGGTAAGCCATCCCAGAAGCCTCCACAAAGCCAATGTTAAAGGGAAACAAAACCCAAGTACCTTTAACATTAGTTTCTTGGATATTCAGAAAACTATCAGTACCGCTCTTTCCCACCAAACCAAACCAAACCAAACCACCAAGTTTTTAGTCCTTGTTGAAGTAAAACACACAAGAAAAGCGGGTAAAGTAGTAAGCAACTTCCTTAAGCAAGAGAAGTTTTTAAAGGTCAGAAACAATACAGGCAGTGGTAGTGCAGGTCTTTGATCCCAGCGCTCAAGATCTCTGAATTCAAGGCCAGCCTGATCTACAGACCAACTTTCAGGACAGCCAGGGCTGCACAGAGAAATCCTGTCACAGAAAAACCAATCAATCAATCAATCAATCAATCACTGAATGGATCAATCTATTAATTAAGTTCAGAAACATATTGTGAGACCATAAGTGACTGTAAGGTAAAGGAAGAGGGTGAGAGCTGGTAAAGAAAGTAAAGAACTCCATCTCTTGATCTTCAATGCTTAAGATTTTACCTGCATCTGTTCCTCAAAAAGCTCAGTCTATTCATGGAAACAGGGTCCACAGAGCTAGTGCCACACCTGTTTAACAAACAGAAGATACAAGTTGCTAGGCTATAAGAAACAAAAACAGTAGGATAAGAAGATCCAACTACACACTGAAAACTAGTAACTAACAAGAAAAGTCAGGCTGAGATTGAGAAACCTTCTATTATTTTGTTTTGCTTAATTTGAGGCAGCACCTTCAAGTCTAGGTTGGTGGAACTATCTATGTGGCCAGGGAAGACCTTGAACTTCTGATCCTTTGATCACTAGCACCTGAGTAATGGCATTACAGGAAGGTACCAACATACCAATCTTATATGGTATTGGGTATTGAACCCATGGCTCCATGCATTTTAGACAAGCACTTTACCATATTTTCTGACTGTTTGTCTTTCTTCCCCACCTCCACCCCTGTGCGTGTATGAGTGTACAACAGAAGACAACTTAAAAGAGTTGGTTCTCTCCCATATATAAGTTTCAGTAATCAAACGTGTATTATCAGGCTGTCCGCCAAGTTCCTTACACAAAGGAACTTGGTTCCAACTCAGACCACTTTATTCATTCGTGTGTGTGTGTGTGTGTGTGTGTGTGTATACACAGACATATATACACATACATACATATATATATAATAGTTATATAAAATTTTTTTGAGGATTTTAATTATGTATTCATCATTGCTCTCTTCAGACACACCAGAAGAGGGCATCAGCCCCATTGAAGATGGTTGTGAGCCACCATGTGGTTGCTGGGAGTTGAACTCAGAAGCTCTGGAAGAGCAGTCAGTGTTCTTAACCACTGAGCCATCTCTCCAGCTCAGACCACTTTTTGAAACAGAATCTCATACAATACAGAATGAACTCAAACTCACTATCTGCTTGCCTTTAAGTCTCAAGTAATGAGACCATAGGAAAGTCCCACCATGCCGACAGATTTAGTAGATTACTTAAAAGTTGAGTATTAAGATATTTCTTGCCAGGTGAGCATCTGGTCACAGAGCAGTAAGCCCTATTTTATTTTTTATTTTTCCAAATTTTGGACTAGAGCTCACTAAGTTGCCCATGCTAGCTCTGGACTTGAGATATTTTTTCTTTAGCCTTAAGAGGAGCTAAGATGAAAGGTTTGGACCAGCAGCTTGAACTCCTTTAAAACTTTTAATTGACCTAAAACTTCAACCAAAACACTTCCATACACTCTTCAAATGCAGTCTCTGTACATCAGAAGGTGGTGGCTGTGTTCTGTGAAGGACTAGATACTAAGCAGTTTTAGTTTGATGGCCATGCAGTCTTTTAACTAGACAGTTCTGAGCAATCAAGCATAAAAACAGCCAAAGATAACAAGTAATCTCAAACAGGAAGAGCTATGGACCTATGAAACTTTATTCACAAATTAAGAGCTACTGTTCTCTGACTTTTGCTTTAAGTGTATCTCTATTTGCTACATTTCATTATTATTTACCTTATTCTAGTCTTACCATGTCCACAAGATAATCTCTCCAATCCTATTTTTCTTCTTTTTCTATTTTATTTTTTTAGATATAAGATCTTACTATGTAGTTTATATAAGCCTGGAATTCATGATCTTCCTACCTTAAGTCTCCAAAGTTCTGGGATTACAGGCATGCACCACCAAATCTAGACTGATTGTTTGAAATCAGGTCTCACTATACAGCCCTAGCAGGCCTGGAAGTTGCTATATAGGCCATGCTGGCATTGTAGCAATCCTCCTGCCTTAACCTTCCAAGTGTTACCATTAAAGGCTAGCCCACTATGCCCAGTATTTTATTTCTTTAAAAAAAAAAAAAAAGGTAAGACAAGCATGGTGGCATGTACCTGTAATCCCAGAACTTGGGAGTAGAGGTGGGCAGATCAGGAGTGGGCAGATCAGGAGTCTAAAGCCACCCTCAAGTACACAGTAAGTGTGAGGCCAGCATTGGGTACACAAGACTCTATCCAACAAATAAAAAACAAAGGATAAAGAAATAAATGGGTAAACGTTACAAAGACTTATGTATGTATCATGTTCTTTTTTTTTTTTTGGGGGGGAAATTTAAAGAAAAAAATTATCGAAGATCTGAAAAACAACTCCTACAAGACTGACTTTTCCATAAAACTGTAGCTACATGATGCGTTGTGTCTATCATGTTAAGATGTGCGTTAGACACAAATACAAGAACCATGAAAACCGCTATTCTTTAACAGTTGAGCCAAGATAAAATGCCTAAGGAACAACATGGATGACTTGCAAAGGATGGGCTCTTTAAGCGCCACTTTAAAAAAAAAAAAAGAGCACAGATGGATGAGTGTTCAGTTGTATACACTGAAGTGAACCTTTGGCACTAGGAATCAGAGCATTTTGTCATAGAGCATTAACACATATTATAAAAGTGCGTAGTGTCAAAGGAACAGAACCACCAGCATTCAAAAGCAGCTTTGTCACCTAGGCAAACACTCTACAGCATGTCTCTCTGTTGTCCATCACTGATGCACTGGTAGAAACTTTGAAATGAAAAAAAAAAAAAAAGAATGAAAAAAGGAGAGGTTACTCCTTTTATTTTCTCTGTTTAAAATCAAACAGAAAACAAACATCAACTCTAACGGTCTTCAAAGTACATCATTTGTACAAGAGAAGGACTAAGAACCAAACTGTTTACAGAGATCCAAGCACGAGTGAGAGAGAGCACGCCCCTCACACGGCTTTCCGATGGTACTCGGGAGGAGCCACTGCATAATCACTGGCACTAACAAAGTTGCAGAATTCTGTGCCAGGTACTTGAGGAAATCATGTAGATAGTTCAGTAATAAAGCAAGGCTTTTCTCATCTAGAGGTATATAGATTTGCACGAAGAATCACAGTAAGTGTGGCACTCCATACACCTGGGACATGGGTGCATCCAGGTGATCGGCGAGAATTTCAGCGTACTGTGGTCTCTCACATTTGTAGAGTAGCTGAGTGCCCAGCATTACATTGAAGTACTCCTTTATCCCTGCCACAACCTCATTAACAGCATACTCCTTATTATCTGTATTTACTGGAGACTTCTTATAATTTGCATAATCCTCCAAAATGGAATCCACATTCTTCTTGGCAGGAGATAAAAAAGCTGCCTTTGTCTGGTGATCAAGTCCCAGTCATCCACAAGCCATGGTTTCAGCTCTTCAGGAATCTTCACTTTGGTAACTTCAACTCTGTGCATGAATGCTTCTTCATTTTCAACAGTAGGATCTACCCAGGCTCTCTTCTTCCTAGGAGGCTGAGGTGTCTCACTGGTACTGCCACCATCTCCATTTCCAGGTGTTTTCTGCTTGTTCTCTTTTGTTTTCACTTCAACATTTTCCTGTTTCAGACCAGATGCCTTCTTCCCTGGAGCAGCCCCTCTCATCTTGCCCTCTACATATTGTTCCTGATTGGCCTTCAAGTTCTCGCCGTTTCTGCAAATTGGTGTCCACGTATTTGAGTACTCTGCTTTCTGGCACCCATTCATCCCAATTTTTATTCCAACCACTGTAATGGATAAAGTACTTCTCTTGTTTGTCCTTTATGGCAACCTTTACACACTTTGCTTCATAAAGAAGAGACCCATGAAAGCACAACACTTGCTCGCCCTCCTGGAATATAGGCTTCGGGTCCTGCTTGGGCGCCATTTATAAATGATTCGCCGTCTCCTCATGTATCATGTTCTATTTAAAGTATTTTCATACTATCGATTGAGCTAATCCTTATAACAATGTTTTAAGTTTGACAGTATCACCTCCAATATTAAATGATGAAGTCAAAGCAACACAAGGCTTATAGTATCAAAATTAGAATTCAAATCCATGAAATACTATGGATTAAAACAATTCACTTGGGAGGCCAAGTCAGACAGATCTGTGATTTCAAGGCCAGCCTGGTCTATATAGCCAATTCTAGATCAGCTAGGGTACACTAATTCTAGATTAGTGAGACCCCATCCCTAAATAAATACCAACATTCCGTCAACTACAGTGATATACCTTCTGTAGACCCAAGCTATTTAGGAAACTCGAATGGAGGGTAACTTGAGTTGAGGATTTTTAAATGAGCGTGGACAACATAATATGAACCCCATTCAAAATAAACCATAGTAATCTGATTCCAACAGCTACCCTAAATTATTAAACTATGTAATATTAAATTTTGTACCTTTGCCAGAAAATCTTTTTTTTTAATATTGTCTTTTTTTTTTTTACTTTGGTGGCAGTTTAGTGTTTTGCCTGCATATATGTCAGTGTCAGGGTGTTATATCACCCTGTTACAAACAGCTGTGAGCTGGTATGTGGGTGCTGGGAATTGAACTGGGGTCCTCTGGAAGAGTGGTCAGTGCTCTTGACCACTGAGCCATCTCTCCAGCCACCAGAAAATCTTTTTTAATCCATTTCTCCTAAGCATTTTCTCAGTACAATGCAGTCTATCTCCACTATACAACCTGAACTATTTTTTCTTTTCTTTTTTTTTTTACTTTCATAAATTGTTTCTTGAGCCAGGCATGGTGGAAGGAGAAGCAGTAATTTCAAGCCAGCTGGACTACATAAAATTCTATCTTAAAAATCTGAAAGAAAAAAAAAAAGGTTAGGTATGGTGGCACATGTCTTTTGTTTTTTGTTTTTTGTTTTTTTTTTTTTTTTGGTTTTTTCGAGACAGGGTTTCTCTGTGTAGCCCGGGCTGTCCTGGAACTCACTCTGTAGACCAGGCTGGCCTCGAACTCAGAAATCCTCCTGCCTCTGCCTCCCAAGTGCTGGGATTAAAGGCGTGCGCCACCACCGCCCGGCCTGGTGGCACATGTCTTTGATCCTAGCACTCGGAATGCAGAGGCAGGCGTATCTGGATCTCTGAGTTAGAGGCCAGCCTAGTCTACAGAGCTGTGTTTGAGGACAGCCACGGCTACATAGAGAAACTCTATCTCGAAAACCCAAAATCTGAAAAATAACATAGCCAGGGAGATTCCTCATCAGGTAAAGGTACCTATCACAAGCCTCATGACCTAAGTTTGATTACCTCAACCCACAATGCTGAAGGGAAGAACCAACAACTCACACCCTAACCACCACACACGATTCCACATCCACATATATCATGCACACACAGGTTTGTGTTTGTTTGTTTTTTGTTTGTTTGGTTTTTTTTTCGAGACAGGGTTTCTCTGTGTAGTCCTGGCTGTCCTGGAACTCAACTCTGTAGACCAGGCTGGCCTCGAACTCAGAAATCTGCCTGCCTCTGCCTCCCAAGTGCTGGGATCAAAGGCATGCGCCACCACCGCCCAGCTAGTTTTTTTTTTTAATCTGAAAAACAAAACAAAAAAAATGCCTATAATCTCAGCACTTAAGATGATGAAGCAGTTCAATTTTGAGTCTAAATACACATATAAATGGAGGTGGGGTAAGGTCTAGAGTTCCGCTGCTATGAATTAAAACAAGATTCTGTATTAGTCTTGTATCAGGCAGTATATAATCTTTAGAACCTAATGTTTCTTTTTTGACACAAGTTCTCAAAATGGCTGGCCTCAAACTCACATATGGCTGCCTCTGCCTCCTGAGTACTATGATTTAAGACTCACAATGTCTCTGGGCAGTGGTGGCGCATGCCTTTGATCCCAGCACTTGGGAGGCAGAGGCAGGCAGATTTCTGAGTTCGAGGCCAGCCTGGTCTACAGAGTGAGTTTCAGGACAGCCAGGGCTACACAGAGAAACGGTGTCTCGAACCCTTCCCCCCACCAAAAAAAAAAAAAAAAAAAAAAGATGTGCAATGTCACACTCAGTTTATCTATTGTTGTCTTTTTATTACCTATTTTTATTTTATATGCATTGGTGTTTTGCCTGCATGTATGTCAGTGTGAGAGTGTCAGATCTTGTAGTTACAGACAGTTGTGAGCTGCCATGTGGGTGCTGGGATTTGAACCCAGGACTTCTAGAAGAGCAGTTAGTGTCCTTAACTAATGAGTCATCTTTCCAGCCCATCTGTTTTGTTTTGTTTTTAAAGATTTATTTTATTTAGCTGTATGCATGGAAAAAGGAGGGGACCTATCTGTGAAGGCTGGAGGCTTTGAATCTCCTTGGAGGGACAGACAGATGGCTACAAGCTATCTGATATGCGTGCTGGGAAACTAGCCCCAGTTCTCTGCAAGAGCAATATAATCTCTTATCTGAGCCATCTCTCCAGCCCCAGAAGTTAAATGTTTTTTTGATCCATGTATATGTATGCGTATGTTCATGTTGTGCATGCACACGTATATGGAGGCCAGAGACCAACCTCACATGTAGTTTTTCATCTTAATTTTTTTAAAATGTGTATTAATGTTCTACCTGTATATAAGTGCATACCTAGATACACAGAAACCAGAAAAAGGTGTCAGATGCCTTGGATTGGAGTCATAGATGGCTGTGAGCAACCATGTGGATGCTGGAAGTTGAATCAGTGCTATGGAAGAGTAGCTATTACCCTTAACTGCTGGGCCATCTCTCTAGCCCCCTCCAATCTTGAATTTTGAGACAGGGTCTCTCAATAGGATCTCGGGCTCACCGATTTGGCTAGGCGTCTCCAGAAATGGAATTATCTAGCTTTTTCCATATGTGCTGGGGGTTGAGCTCAGGTTCTTCAAGCTTGTACAACTTAGTACTGAGCGATCTCTCCAGTTTCTGTCTTCACTTAAAAAAAATTCATCTTTATTTTATGTGTATGAATGTTTTGGCTGCATGCAAATATATGCACCATGTATGTGGCCTGCTGGCCCAGACTAACAGACCCCTTAGAACTGGAGTCACAGGTGGCTGTGAACCACCATGTGGGTACTGTGAAAGAAACCTAGGTCCTTTAGAAGAACATCAAATGCTCTTAATTAGTAAGACATCTCTCCCACATCCTAAATCCAGTTAAAACATTTTTAATGTGCATGGGTGTTTTGCCTGCATGACTGCACCACACGCATACCAGTATGATAAAATAACTGGTTCTTGAAAATGAAATGTAATCCAACTATGGCCAGGAATGGAGCTCTAGCTACATTCTGTTAATGACTCTAACAGAAATGAAAGCCTTAGCTGCTCCTTACTCCTACCCCAACACAACCCCAAGCACCACACCTCATTCGGCAAATGAAGGATCTTCTTGAGCCCATACACATCCTCATGGAAGACTGCTGACCTTCCTTTTTCACTGTTCCAGTCTTCAGATCCAGGATCCGCCCTGGACAAGAAAGTGGAGAGCAATCTCAAGTTAATTCTTGTGGATGGGAAAGGGAGAAGACCTGCAAGGCAAAGCTCAGTGTCCAACTGTGTCTTCCGGCTTCCATGTCTATGACAGAGATGTTTTCTTCTTGAAGCCTAAACTACTTCCATCCTCATATAGGAATCTCACTATTAGTTCCAAAATGGCCCAAGAACTGTCTGAGTAAAGCAAGAGTGGAAACTACTAGTATGATTGTGCATGTGAGTCCACCCCTGTATGTGGAGGTCAGAAGACAACTATGTGGAGCTGTCTCTCCTCCCACTGTTACGCCGTCTACAGACTAAGCTTTGATTGCTGGGCTTCCATGACGCTCTCCTTCACCACTGAAGCATTAGGCCAGTCTACTAATTATCTTCAAGCTTGGGGTAGGGGTAGTGTCTGGTTTAAAAACAAGTAATTTTACACGCTAAGAAACACGTATGTGTCCAAAACCAAAACAGTTTCTCTCCTTTATTTATTAAAAAAAAATAAGTAACATTTGGGGAAAAGGAAAATTAAGAGAAATGAAGAAATGAAATGTACAAAATCACAAAAGAGGGGAAACAAGCAACACTAATATGAACATTTGCACTGCAAAGACATTGGTGTTTCTCAGATTTTAACTGCTAGTCACTTGTTTCCATTTGTTAGGTCGTATACAGTTGCTAAAACCAGATGTCACTTATTCTCTAGCCAAATGCTGGCTAAAGAACTGATTCACATCTAAATGGGTGGAGGGGAAATGATCCAGTAGAGGTAAATGACCACACCTCATACACGGACCAAGAGCCACTCCCCTATACAATTAAAATCTATTATCATAGAACCTAGCATAAATTCAAACACGAGTGGGTATGAAAAAATGCCAGAGCCGGGCGGTGGTGGCGCACGCCTTTAATCCCAGCACTTGGGAGGCAGAGGCAGGCGGATTTCTGAGTTCGAGGCCAGCCTGGTCTACAGAGTGAGTTCCAGGACAGCCAGGGCTATACAGAGAAACCCTGTCTCGAAAAAAAAAAAAAAAAAAGAAAAAAAAAAAAAAAGAAAAAATGCCAGGTAACAAAATACAAGCATAGATAATTCTTTTATTATGTGAAGACAGAGGAAGGAAACTATTATAAATTTCAATTTCCCTATTTTATTTAAGATACTATTAAGATAGAAATGAACATTTATAGGAACACAAACACTGATGAAATATTTTCTAAGAATAAGCTAAAAAATAGATATTCTACATGTGAATTAAAAACAATTATATTCATTAAGAAAAAAAATTTTAGAAGCTCTGCCAGATTCAACAAACCAATGTAAGGGCTGGGCTTAAATATCTTAAATACATCAACAAAATAAAGGGTTTCCCCCACTTATTTGCTGTCCATCCAACTCTCACCTGTTAGGGCATTTTCTGAAGTAGAGAGCTGCTCTCGAAGTTTATCCACATCATCTGGGTGCACCTGATCATAGAGTGTGCTCCCAAACCATTCAGACTGTGGCTGGTTCAAAACAGGAGTCACTGAGTCAGAGACATACACCACCCGGCCAGTCTCACAGGAGACAATGAACAGAAAGCCATCTGCTGCCTCCAAGATCAAATGCTTCAGTTCCTGGTCAAGAAAATAAACCAAAGTTAACAGTGAACTCTGGAAAAACATATACAACTAGTCAAGCGAAGCAGCAAGATTCTTGGGTATACATGCATTGCCTCACTAGGAATCACAGGCTTACCTCAATCCAAGCCATGGGTGCCTAACCTAAATATCCACTGGCAAACTTTTTACAATAAGTATTTCTGCAATTTCTCTAAGTTGCTATTCACCTCTCTCTCTTAGTACTCAAGGGAGAATAAAAAGGCTTACAATGAATGAGAAGCCTTTTGCAGGGGACAGGGGTCTTCTGGCCTTCTTTCAGCCTCTCAAGTACTAGAATTACAACTAATACATATGACTAATAACTGTTGTCTTTTTTTTAAAAAAAAAAAAAAGATAGAGTCTCATAGATACCAGTGTGAATTCAAACTTGCTACATAGTGGAGGGTGACCTTGAATTTTTAATCATCCTGGTTCTGCCTGCCAGGTATTGAGATTATAGGTATGCAGTAGCACACTGGTTGTATGGGTACTGTTAATTAAACCCAGGGCTTTATGCATGCTAGGCAAGTGCTCTGTAACGTGAACTCTACACCCAGCCTCTGCACCCGGCTGGTTGATCTATCCTCCATGTTTTCATTTTAGGATCCTCTCACAATCTCCCTTTCCACGCCAACTTATAAACACTTATAAACTTATAAACACAAACATTTCTTAATTCCATCCGAATCTTCCCTCAACTTGTTCAGAATATGCTATTATTTCAGGATTTAGGTTTTAATGTTTAGAAAGTAACCATTAAAATACGAACTGGGTTTGCCCAATGCTGCTTGTGTTACTATTATGTTAATTTTGGACCCCAAACTAGTTTTTGATTGATCAATAAAGAGCCAATGGCTGATGGCTGGACAGGATGGAGAAGGCAGGACTTCTAGGTTCCCTGGGGGAAAACAAAGAGGGAAAAGAAAGGACTCCAGGAAAGTGGTCCCTGGGAGGGCTGTCTAGAAGCCTCGTGGGCAACAAAGATAGGGGGCAGCCCAAAGGAGCCAGGGAAGCAAAGATAAAATATAGATTTTAAACGATATTAACCCAGGAATACCAGAGGGAAGTATTTGCTGACTGCGGAGAGTTTTAGACATGCTCAGCCATTGAACTAGTCAAGGCATGTCAAAGTTAAGCTGGCCTATGTGTGTCTTTTATTCACGAATCCAGAGAGCTTCTGGGCGGTGCTCACATGTAACCCACTGGGAGCCAAAGCAGTCTAACTAAGTCATCCCTACAAAAACATAATCAGATCTTTGTCATTTTGAGGGTAGATTAAGGATGGTAAGATGAGCAAGACCATGTTACACTCTCTCTTGCTTTTCAATTACCCCTCCATCTTCCCTGCAACCCACTACCTCTGTTCTGTTGTTGTTGGTTTAAGTGGTTTACTTACAGCCTCCTAAGTGATGATTCAAGTCCCTTCTCCTGGATTCTCATCATCATTTTTTAAATTCAATCTCTCTACACAACCATGTAATACTACCCACTGCACCATGTAACTTTCATTTTTGCTTAGCATCTTCTAAAACTCCATTCATTTCTGCTCCACACTCTCTTCTCTTTGTTCATGTTACACGTAGATACTTCCTAGGTCCTATTCATCCTCTTCTCAGAAACCATACACATGCTTCCGCACCATGAGAGAAAATCCAAGTCCACCCCTGTACCTTCCCCTCCACACCACCACACTCCTCCCCCAGTCCCAAGTATTCCTGAACTGCAATGTAACTCACAGATACCTTGGCTGCTGAGACTACAGTAGTGTGTCACCACGGCTAGCACCTAATTCCTCTTTCTATATCTATACTCTATCAGCCTGTTACAACAATTATTAGTTACCAGTTTATATTATCTGTTTCTACCAGTGACCTTTTTAAAAAAAAAAAATTCTTTGTATTTCTCACAGCACAAGTACCTGGTTTGCCACAAAAGAAGCATAACAAGAGTTTAATAAATACCTGAATGTATTCTGAGGATATAAACTGACTATTTATATGTACATAGCTATTAAATATGCTCCATGGGATAGCAAATAGACCACCCTATTTGGAGAACTTACTCCTTTCTCTCGTCATATTCCTATAATTCTAAGACAAAAATGGTGACATTACATTAAATGTCTTTGCCTGTATTTCCTAAAACTTCCCACAGTGTTCACACATTTTATATGTGTATACTTATTTTAGACACAGGCTCAAATATAACCATTTTATATGTGTATGTATCTATTTTTAGATGCAGTCTCATACATAACAGGCTGGCCTGGAGGAGGATGACTCCAATTCTCAATCTCCTACTTCTGCCTCAGCACTGAAACGACAAGTTATGAGCTACCACATCCAGTTACCATACCCAACTGCATATGGTGTTGGGATCAAATTCAGGGCTTTGCATATTCTAGGTATGAACGATTATATCTTTTTATTTTTGAAACAGGGTCTTGCTATGTAGCTCTGGCTGGTCTAGAACTCTGTAGACCAGGCTGGCCGTGGTTTCCTAAGTACTGGGATTAAAGGCATCCATCACCATGCCCTACCCAATCATGGATTTTTAATTGAAATGTAACAAACATGTCTTCCCTAGTCATTCTCAGCCAAGTCTAGAGAGACTGAAGTCAGACATGCCACCATTGCACATCTATCTCACACACAATATCACCCCAGAAGCCATCTCTTTTCTGTATGTCTCTTCCCATCATTTCTCAGTTATGTATCTTACTACTCACACTTATGTTCACATTTAGTTCTTTCTTTGGTCAATAACAGAGACTGAACCTGAGGTCTCCAGCACAGGCGAGTGTTCTACCAATGAACTTCAGACATAACTCTTAGATGAAGTTCCTGAATGATGTGAAATATTTCTGCCCTGTTTTCCTCATGGAATTGCCTAGTACACTCCTCTCATCATTAAGACTGAAAGTTGCTTCAGAGTAAGGCAGATTTCCTCAGGCTCTATAAACCTAACCCAAGGAACACTGGTCTATGAGTATGGCAATTTCTCTGGGATCAAACCCTTCTTTCACTTATGTACGAGCCAAGTTCTAAAATACCTAAAACCTTGCTAAATAAATTCTCACAACTAATTTATCTATTTCTCACTTTCCCAATACTTAATCAGTTATAGCCAAGAGCTGAAATTCATTTTTCCTTGTCTGATGTTTCCTGAAGAACCAAGCTCCTAAAGCTGGACATTGTGGCACATGTTGGCAATATACTGAGTTGGATGTCAGCCTGGGCTATACACGAGACCCTCCCCCAAACAAACAAGCAAGTAAGCAAACAAACAAAACCATTAAATTAGTCCAAAACTTTCAACAGATATACTCAGAATCAGTTTTAAGACCCAGAGACCTGATCAGTGAGGAAAGATGGCTTGTAGGAGCCATCAGTAGATGTGTTGCCAGTTCCCCTCAAGGACTTCATGTGAGAAACGGCCATGCGTAAGATGGTTAGCTTGTCTGGTTTTCGAGCCAGGGCACTACAGGTAGGTACCATGTCTGACAGTTCTGTGATGTAAGCTGTCATCTTGTTCCGACGCCGCCTTTCTATTTCGCTATGATTTTCCCTGCATAAAAAAAAAGAAAGAAGCCCCGTTCTAGGTGGTCATACCTGGTCCTTTGGTACAGGAGAGTGATATGGTATCTGGTCAGCTGCTGAAGGATATAGTAACTTGGATTTGATGATGTTCAAATCTCAGAAGCCAAGCAGGCCAACCTCATGCAGACTAAGCATGAAACAAACTAACAAAGTCTAGAAAAAGAACAAGTACACAATGCGTCTCCAGTAAACCACTTCCATTAAATTACCACTTCTTCAGAGTAAAGAAATATTTGAAAGAAATAATTAAAGCCAGGTGTGGTGGTGCATGCCTTTAATCCCAGTACTCAGGAGGCAGAGGCAGGGCGATCTCAGAGCTCAAAGCCAAGCTGGTCTACAAAATGACAGCAAGGGCTACAGAGAGAAATCCTGTCTCAGGGGTAAGGCTGGGAGTGAGTGTTTTTTTAAATGTTAACTTCACTTACTTAAGTTCCTAAGGGGATAAATCTCAGTTTCACTAACTACATGTTTTCTATTTAAAACATTTGAAGCCTATAAAATAAAGTGACCAACTTTTGCCAAGTTAAGTGAGTGAATCAATAGCTTATGAAAGAAATAACAGTATAAAGGCCAGACACGATAGCACGTTTACAGTTTCAATACTCGAAGACTAAAGCACAAGAATTTTGAGTTTGAGGCCAATCTGGGCTATACAGCAAGTTCCAGGGTAACATGGACTACACAGTGATACCCTGTTCCAAATATCTGAATGAGGCCAGGCATGCTGGCACATGCCTGTCTACAAGCTCTGCAACTGAGAGGCTAAGGCAGGAGGATCACCATGAACTTCCAAGGTGAGTCTGAAGCCAGCCTGGGCTACATAGCAAGATCTGTCTCAAAACTAACCCCCACCCCCTTTTTAAGGAAGAAGAAAAGCAGCAGCCACCTCAGCCTGGTAATTTAACTCAGGTGGTGGAGTGCTTGTCTAACAAGGCCAAGGCTCTGGGTCTGATGTCTAACAGTCATTAAAACCTGTGATTCCAACACTTGAGTGGATAGCTCCTTCTCAGCTCCGTATCAAGCCTGGGCACAGCCTGGAATACATAAGACTGCCTTTAAAACAAAGAAAGTGAAAAAGGGAAAGGGAGAGGAAAAGCCAGAGTGGTAACACCCACCTTTAAGCCCAGTACTCAGAAGTAGAGGCAGGGGGATCTCTGAGTTCTAGGACAGCCAGTGCTACATAGTGAGACCTTATCCCAAAAAAAGAAAAAAAGGAAAGAAAAGGAAGACATGGTAGTATAAATTCTTTTAGAATATCAAATGCTGCCTTGTCAAAGTTGCTTTTGGCATTAAGATACAGAACTGGAGTATTTTGGAATTGTATTTGTTATACTAATGCACAAAATTCTTATCTGGGTTTGGCAGTATACTGAACTTAAGAGAGTCCAACTTATCTTGTGGGTCCCCAGACTGAGCACAGGGTACTGAGGGGAGAAGGGTAGAGTAGGGAAAGGAACATCAAAAGCATGGAAAGAGAACCTGGATCTCACCATGGTAACAAAGATCTCAAAAGTGAGGCAGAATTACAGTATAGCTGTCAAAAGGAATAACCTAAGAGTCTACAAATGGAAATTCTGGAAAGCTAAGAGGTTGTTCAGGGTCTTCCATAAAGACGCCTCTAAAGGAAACCAAAAGGCTGTATGTATGTACTTCAGCTCCTAGCTGAGCAGCTGGGCTTTATTGTCTATGTATTTCTCTTACCACTTATGGATCTATTCTATAGAGAAAAACAAAACCACAATACCTAACACCAATGCCCTTGTTTATAATGAGCCAACTGAAGCGAGAGGATTAGCTGGCTTTCTCAGAGCTGCCCTTCTCCCCAGTGCAATGTTTTCCAGTTCTCTGAAGGCTGGAAGCATAGCAGTAGCAGCCCTGGGTGAAAACAGTCACAGAATGAATTTGTGACCCAGCTTGAAGAAGTAATACAAGGGGACAATAGTAAAAATATTTGTATTAATGATCCAGTTACTAGTGAAGCATGCCAACTCAGAGACCAGAGCAGAAAAGTTTGAGTGCAATGCAGTATTTCTGGATCATGGACAATAGTCTAAAGAGAACTAAAACAGGTCCTGAAACATAGCTCAGTGAGTGGCACAGTGCTCACCCACCACACACAAAGCTCTGAGTTCAGTCCCTAGTACTCTCTCAAAAGAAAATCTGACTACAGAGATGATTTATCTGGACATAATGGCACATATCTGTAATCTTAGCACTTGGGCAAGGAGAATAGGGATTTTTAAGGCCTATATAAAGTACATGAAACCCTATCTTTTTTTTTTTTTAAAGGTTTTTGGAGACAGGGTTTCTCTGTGTAGCCCTGGCTGTCCTGGAACTCACTCTGTAGACCAGGCTGGCCTCGAACTCAGAAATCCGACTGCCTCTGCCTCCCAAGTGCTGGGATTAAAGGCGTACACCACCACCGCCCGGCATGAAACCCTATCTTGAAAGAGAAAAAGAAGTCTCTTTATGAAAGATAAAAAGGTTCCACTTTATAGGTTAATATTTAGTTACTCTCAAACATTTAAAAAAAAAATCTACTCTTAATTTTAAAGTACCCATCTTCTTAGTATCTGACAAATTTCTGAAACCGAAGTCCAGAAAACTAATGTGTGTGCACATATACACTGTGTGAGCATGCATGTGCATGTATGTCAAAACCAAAGGTCAATTTGAAGTATCATTTTTAAGATATCCACCTCCCACCTTGTTTTCTGAGGCAGCATCTCTCACTAGGACCCAAGGCTTTACTCCTAAGCTAGTGCAGCTGCCCAGGGAAAGATCTACCTCTGCTTCCCTGTTGTTCTAGAATTACAAACACAAGCCAATATAAACCCACACCCTCCTTTTTAGTGGGTTCTGAGGATAACTCTGGTAATCAAACTTGCATAGCAAGTTCTTTACAGACTGAGCTATCTCTCCAGCCTAGAAAATCCATCTTTTAAATAGCTATACCAAGGTAGCTAAAACTTTCCTCAGAAATTATAAGGGTTCAATCAGTTCTACTGACATAGTAATCTAGATTGTGAATCTACACAGGGAAGTCCAGAGTATGTGTTGTGGCCCAAACACTGGGAACGATGGCAATTATCGGAATTCTGATAGAGAGTGTGTTCCTGTTACAGCACCAGTGGACACAGCCACATTAGCTCTAAATCCCTTTCATTCTGTGGATCTTAGTGATGAAGTAAAGAAAAAAATAAAAATTTTCAAAATGAACACCAATTTACTCTTCCCTCCAAACCCCAGGTAGGGTTTCTCTGTGTAGCCCTGGCTGTCCTGAACTTCTTTGTAGACCAGGCTGGGTTCAAACTTATAGAACTCCACCTGCCTCTGCTTCCCGAATGAATGCAAGGATCAAAAGAGCCACCACATCTGGCTTAATTCACCCACTTCCTGATGGGGAAGCCAAAGTTCATATTATACCCCAACTTGTAAAACCTCATGTCCTCCTTTGCCACAAGTAAGAGAAAACACAGAAAGGGAAAGAAAAGATGGGTTAGACAGAGGGTAAGAAGGCAGCATCTGCTTCATGCTAAACAACACAGCTCCTACCTGGCAAGTCTCTCTTTATCCGCAGAGCTCTGCTCATCATCCGACCTAAAAACAGAATTGATGAACTAAGCGAAAATTAAAATAAAAAGGAAGAAAGGAAGAAGAAAGGGCAGATGAAAGTGAGGGAGGAAAATGAAATGCAAAATGGAAAGGAAAGAAAAGAAATGAAATGGATACAGAGAAAAGGGAGGAAATGGCCATACAAGTAGAAACCTTGCTTTGAATCTATAGAATTGTATTTCTGCAAGAAGTAACTTCTAAGACCAAGAGTCAAGGCCAATTAGAAACTAATCTCAACACAAAAAACACTTTGTTAAACAATCTGTACAGAAACCAAAGATACAGAGGGTGAACAAGAACTAACCAGGGAATTCTGAATTATCATTCTTATGAACTGCTGGCATCTGGGAAGAAACTCTTATTCACATTCGCTACTGTGTATTAGTGACTAAATTACACAGCTCAAACAACGGATTAGAAATATAATTTCCTAACACACACATACACACACACACGAAAAATTATGACAAGACTGTTTTTGCCAATGTAATATTTAGTGTGTCAGTGTGCTTTTCCATGTGTGCCACAGAGTACACACAGAGGTCAGAGGGCAACTTGTGCGAGTTGGTTCTCTTCTTTCACCCAGTGATGAAGAACTTAGAGCTAGAACTTGAGACCTCAGGCATGGGATAAAAGTCACACACTGAGTCATCTAGCTTGACCATGACCAGATGTTACTCATGAAATTACATCCTTAAACCAAGAGCTAGAGTTCTTGCATATTCTCTATCACTGACACACTCCTAATCTAATGAATTCTGGTTCAGGCACCCTAGTACTTTTTCTATAATTTAACCAGTATCAATCCCTCCTCCCTTGAAAAAAAAAACCAAAGGTTTTCACTAAATTAATCCCAAAAAAACCAAAACACTTAAGAATGGGTGGCAGGTAGCAGGGGCTAGGCATGGTAGTGTGTGCCTTCGATTCTAGCACTTGAGGAGTTCAAGTCAAGAATGGCATACACAGAGATACATAGGATAACCAGGGCAATGTAGAAAGACTGTCTCAATACCCAACCCCCAAATAGGGGAGAGAGAAACAACTGAAAAAACAAGGTACTAGCTAATTCAGTATATCAGTACTCATTTTAAGAGAGATAAGCCTCAAATACATTATCTAGTAAGGTATATTAACAGTCCAAAAAGCCTCAGCTATTAAAAATGACAACAATGGGACTGGAGAGATAGGTCAGTAGATAAGGAACACTGGCTGCTCCTCCAGAGAAACTGGGTTCAATTTCCAGCAATTTACAATAGTCTCTAGCTCTAGGTCTAGAAGATCTGATGACCTCTTTTGTCCTCCATGGATACCGGGTACCCACATGCTGGCTGTACAAACATATATGTAGGCAAGACCAAATAAAGAAAAAATAATAAGTAAATTTTTAAAAACCTTTTAAAGACAATGACAAAAAGCATTATTTCAATGGTAGAACACTTGTGAACATGAAAACTGAGTAACAGGCCAGAGAGACTGTCTCACATAAACAAAGATAATAAAGCCAAGCATGAAAATAAAATAACTTCTTAAGACTCTGCCTTAAGGGCTAGAGAGTTGGCTCAATGGTTAAGAGCACTGGCTGCTCTTCCAAAGGTCCTGAGTTCAATTCCCAGCAACCACATGGTGGCTCACAACCATCTGTAATGAGATCTGATGCCCTCTTCTGGTGTGTCAAGGACAGTGTGCTCATATACATTAAATAAATAAATAAATCTCAAAAAAAAAAAAAAAAGACTCTACCTTAAGATGGATATAGTAAGCAGCAGCTACTTGTGATGATGAAATAGGGAGAAATGCTTGAGCCTAGGGATTTGCAACCGAGTAAATTATTGTTGTTGTTGTTATTTTATCAACATATGGAAAAATTCCAATAAAATAGAAACTAAAATCCTTACAATCTTGGCACTGGAAAGGCAGAGACAGGAGGGTCCCAGGGGCTCACTGAGCAGCATCCTAGTCGACCGAGCGCAGTCCAAGACCGAGAGAGGCTCTATCTCAGGGGTGGGGTGGGGATGGGGGGTTCTATGTCTTTTCCAAGCATGCTTCCTTCTCATCAACATTCTGGGCTTCTCTACTCTGTCTCTAAAGCCTCCCTCACCACCAACGGCTGCCTGCCCATCAATGTCTCATCTCCAGGCCAGCTTAAAATGACATGGCCTTTTTTCCTCTCTCATCCATTCTCTTCCTCCAGCCAGTGGCTGATGTTTTACAGCTTACCTACTCTGTTCTTCTTTTAAACTCAAATAAAATTGTTCAAGTGTTAAAAATAAGAATTTTTTTTAAAAAAGATAAAACTGCAGAGAGCTATGAAGACTGTAAAATGTATGCACATATGCTGAAGAGAAGACAGATAACAGAGTAGTTACACCTGCCTGTTCCTTATTCTAGATAGTTTTTAACAGCCGGGCGGTGGTGGCGCACGCCTTTAATCCCAGCACTTGGGAAGCAGAGGCAGGCGGATTTCTGAGTTCGAGGCCAGCCTGGTCTACACAGTGAGCTCCAGGACAGCCAGGGCTACACAGAGAAACCCTGTCTCGAAAAACCAAAAAAAAAAAAAAAAAAAGCACTAGATAGTTTTTAACAACAAAACATTCATTTTCAAAAGATCAGTAAATTCACCTATTTTTAGCTTTTGAACATCTACTGATGTAACAAATACATTTTGTTTGAAGTTAATCATTTAAAATTCCTTTTATTAGTAGTAGTAAGAGTCACACAACCCCTCTACTCCAGTATTTCTAAACAGAATAGGACATACACAGATTAAATAATCCAGGTTGTGTTTTATGGCTTTCTAGACTCTCAATCAAGAGACTGAGGACTCGGCCTGTGCCTGCCCTAATGATGATCTGACCTTGTTTTTTGGGGATCTCACGTAGCCAAGGCTGGTCTTGAACTACATAGCCAAATAACTTTTTGTTTTTCAAAACAGAGTTTCTCTATGTAGTCCTGGAACTCACTCTATAGACCTGACTGGGCTCAAACTCACAGATATCTTTCTGCCTGCCTCTGCCTCTCTCTGTGCTGGGATTAAAGGTGTGTACCATCACTGCCTTGCTGCCAAGTAACTTAAAAAATAAAGATTTACCTATTTTCATTTTTATGCATAGAAGTATTTTTACTTGTATGTATGTATGCGCATGCAAGCCCAAAGAGGCAAGAAGAGGGCCCTGGATCTGCCCAGAATTGAATGATATATGGTTGTGAGCCACCAGATGAGTGCTGGGAATTGAACCCAGGTCCACTGCAAGTAGCAGCTAGTGCTCTCTAGTCCCTAACTTAGGATTTCTAATATCTTGACTCCACTTCCATAGCACTGAGATTACAAGTTTTATAGCTAGACTTAATAGAATCTGAAAGATTGTAACTCAAAAATCAATAATTATTAACTTTTCCTTTAGAGATTATTGCATCCTTAAGGGTTCACCTATTTCAAGAAGTTTTGATAAACTGCTCTTGAAAAACTCCCTAGCTTTTTAGTTTACTAGTGCCATGGCCATATTTCTGGGCCCAAACACTCATGATTTCACAGCTGGCCTAATCGTTTAGAAGATTCTATCTACCCTCCCTCTTTCTACTTATTACTTACCTACTACCTACCGATCTGTTCTTTTCAATCAACTCTATAGACTCCCAATACTGTGTCTAAAAGATAACTTCTCTTCCTGATATTTCTTGGTTCTCTAGATCAATGGTCCTCAAAGTAGATCCCACTCAGGCAGGTTCAGCAGTGAGTGAATACTGTTAATAAGTACTCACAAAAGACCTAGCAGACAGGCTCAATGAGTAAAGGTGCTTGCTGCTAAGTCTAGTTTCATCACTGGGACTCATAGGTGGAAAGCAAGAGTCTAACCCCAGAAGTTGTCCTTTGAGCTCAACATGTGGAATGTCACAAACACACATAGTTTCTCTCTCTCTCTCACAATCAATCAATCAGTCAATCAATGTAATAAAACCTTAAGCAAGTAATCATTGGGCTATAGAAACAGCTCGGTGGGTAAGTGTGCTCGCTGCTCTTCCAGGAGCCTGATGTCTTCTTTTGGCATCCAAATTCATATGTATATACCCATTTATCTATAATCTATACAGACACACATAATTAAAAATAAAATAGATTATTTTTAAAGTAATTAATTAAATACAACACTTAAAAATAAAGTTATTCATTTTTGAGGTGATTCCGAGCTCAATTTTGTGTGTGTGTGTGCACACACGCGCACGCATGGGATGGTTAAAGGACAACCTCGGTTGTTGGTCTATGCCTTCTACTTTGTCTGAGATAGATTCACTCTTATTGTTCACTGCTCCATACGCCAAGTTAGCTGCGCCATGTGTTTGTGGCTATTCCCTTGTCTCTCTCTTCTGTCTCCCAATAAGGACGCACTAGGACTACAGACTCTTGGGATATATCAACATTCTATGTGGGTTCTGGGGTTAAACACTTTCAATCCTGAGCCATCTCCCCAGCCAAAAACTCACTATTTTCTAAATTTTTAATTATTTATTATCATTGTGACTATATGATGCACATATATAAGTACAGGCACATGAGTATCACATTGTGTGTGTGTGTGTGTGTGTGTGTGTGTGTGTGTGTGTATGTGTGTGTGTAAGGGGAAAACTTACAGGATTTGAGCTTAAGAATACTGATTTATTTACTTATTTCCAATGATTTATATGAGAATAAAAGTCCCTTGCCAAAATAAGAGGTTAATAAGAGGTTAAATGTTCAGTTCAATTTTCCTTTCCTTTCTGTCCCTAGCTGTTTTGAAAACATAATACAAAAAGGGGCCCAAACACCAACACAGCTCCTAAAAAATGAGTTAATTCTTGGGAGTGGTTCTGAAATTAGGATAAACATTTGTTGATCCTGCGTAAGTCCAATGAATCAAGACAGTTTTTATTGTGCATTTGGTGTTTGGGGCCATTGTACTGAAGCAAATACTCCCTTTGCACTTTGTCCTAATGCTTAAGCCTTCTACTTGTGCCTTTTTGGTCTCTCTCCAGAGATATATCATACTCATTCGGTTGAAGGTAATGGGGAGAGTGGTAAGGGGCACAGGCTTATACTTGGAACCCAACATCTTGGCTCCCCAAGTATGTAAGTATGTATGTATGTAAGTATGTATGTATGTATGAATGTATGTATGCATGCATATATGTGTACATCTGTATATATGTATGATCATGCACATTAGATATCAACAGAAGCCAAAAGACAATGTAAGGCTCCCTGGAGTTGGCGTTACAAGAGGTGTGAGCCATCATGTGCATGCTAGAAACCAAATTCAGGTCCTCTGCAGGAGCAACAGCACTCTTACCCATAAAGCCATCTCTCCATCCACATGACATCCTCCTCTCTTTTTTAAAGAGTAACCTACAGCAAGAATTTTTTAAAAGTAAAACCAGTATATGAGTTGAGAATGATTACTCTTTAATAAGTAAAATTAGTGTACTTCATAATCTTCTGGCAGTTATTTAAACAAACTTAAGTTTAGTATCCAGAATAAGAACTCATTTAAATGAATAAACCATTTTCTATAAAAATTCTTCTGTATTTGTACCAATATAATAAAATATACACAAGAAGTCTACCGCTGGTGCTCCTGTAGATACAATACACACACTACTAGAACTTGCATACATGAGAGAAGCATTATGTTAAAATACGCCACTAGCTTCAAGTCAACACTCTTCAGAAGAGGAAAGAAACTAAACAGAGAAGTTCACTCTCACCTAAGTAAAATTTAAACCCACCCTTTAGACTGCTTGACCCCGTAACCTGGACAAGCACTCTAGCACGTTACCTGGCAAACCGCTCTTTGTCATTGCACATCTGTTCTTCATCACATCTGAAAAAAAAGAGCAGGTAAAAGACTAATTTAAACCCTTGTACTTATATCCACTCCACTCTAAATAAAATAAAAGCTAGAAAGAAGTAAAACTATTCAACAGGGAAAAGATAATGGACAAGCATCACAAAGCAACGGATGTGAATAGCATCTGAAAGAACATGAAGAGCTGCTATCTATGATTTCTCAGTTATCACACACAACAAGATGATGTGATGAAAACATGAAATGTCTCACGAATGCCCTAAAGTTGGGAATATATTTGGTGTTTTTGTTTGTTTGGGGGGGTGGTTTTTTGAGATGGGGTCAGCTATGTAGCACTGGCTAGCCTGACACTCACTCTGAATTTGCAGACTCTTTGCCTCTGCCTCCCAAGTGCTAAGACTACAGGTGTTAATCACTATGCCTGGCTCAGTTTGTTTTTAACTGTAGCTTTAAAAAAAAAAACAAACCCATAGAACAGTGTGTGGGTATATTTTTCCTGTGTTCATTCTTCTGTGAAAAACAGGATCATAAATATGGGTATTTGTTTAACTCCTTAAGATCTAAACTGGGTGTGGTAACATGTGCCTGCAGTTCTTTTAGCCTAGATACTTAGGCAGTTGAGGGAAAAGAACATTTGAACCAGGTGTAGGAGGCTGGTCTGAGCAACAGAGCAAGACTCCCCAGGGGGTGGAGGATCGGAAAGAGATAGCCAACGCCTCCAAGGGTCAGGGACCATTGCATAAGAGGGGACAGAAACAATCTGAGTTAAAAGAAAGGCAGACTGTTGTGGAACACTGCCTTCTGAAAGGACACGAACAATGCATTCTTGAATTCACCATAGCTGTGACTGCAAAAACTACATAACATCCTAGCATAGAGGAGGGGAGGAGTTCACAAAGCCACAGACCTCCTTGAGGATCTATAAGCAGTTAGTAGTTGCTGGGAGAGATTTTCTTCAGTGGTGTAGCCCCGAGAAAAGTGTGCATGTTTCTGTAAGTAATTACTCACACATAGTAAGCAACCCTAAATGAGGTCCCACTCCAAAAAAAGTCATGAAAGTAGAAGAGGAACTAGATGGGAAGAGGAAGGGGACTAGTGAGAGAGGATGTCCCAGGGTAAGGGGTGGGGTATACAATGCCTTATATATATGTATGAAAATATAAAATGGTGCACACCTGAACCCTTGCATACAGGATGCAAGTTCAAAGAGGATCACAAGTGTCAGCATGGTCTATATAGCAAGCTTCAGGCCATCAAAACCAAACTTGTGCTTGCAGCCACAGGACAGATATGGAGGCAGAGGACAACTTTTTTTGTTTTTTAAAGATCAATTTATTTATTTTACTTATATGAGTACACTGCAGCTGCCTTCAGACACACCAGAAGAGGACATTGGATCCCATTATAGATGGACACTGTGTGGTTGCTGGGAATTGGACTCAGGACCTCTGGAAGAGCAGTCAGTGTTCTTAACCGCTGAGCCATCTCTCCAGCCCAGAGGACAACTTTCAAGAACAACTCTCTCCTTACAAAATGCGGGTTCCAGGGAGTATCAAGCTTAACAGCATCTTTACCCACTGTGCACCTCAATGGCATTCTATGCTTTACTTATCTGTATCTGTTTTTTGAGAGCAGCTCAGGCTTCATTTGAACTCACAGCGATCCTTTTACATCAACCTTTCAAGTACTAGGATTATATGTATATGCCATCATACCTAGCTCAAAACTAATTAATTTAGGGGTTAGAGAGATGGCTCAATGATTAAGAGCATTTGTTGTTCTTGCAGAGAACCCATGTTTAGTTCTCAGAACCATCTGGCAGCTTACAGTTATCTGTAACTCCAGTTCTAGGAACCAGCCATACACACTGTGCAATATACATATGGAGGCAAAAGGCACATATAAAAAAAAAAATTTAAAAAGTCGTACCAAAAAAAGTTAATATACGAAGTTTTAGTATGAGGAATATAACCTTTTGAGCTTGTGAGGCAAGTGACCCTGAGCTATAACAATGGTTTTATCTTTTAAAGTGGCACCATATTATCTTCCATTGTGACTGCATCATTTATATTACCACAGTGTACAACTGTTCCATAGTTTTTTTTTGTTTTGGTTTGGTTTGGTTTTTGGTTTTTCGAGACAGAGTTTCTCTGTGTAGCCCTGGCTGTCCTGGAACTCAGAAATCCGCCTGTCTCTGCCTCCCAAGTGCTGGGATTAAAGGCATGCGACACCACTGTTCCAATTCCTCCACTTCTCTAGCAATTTTGTTATTGTCTCAGGGTTTGCTTGTATCTTTCTGAGACAGCACCTCACTGTGCAGCCCTGGGTTCCCCCTACCCACGGAAGGCTGGTGAATATCAGCCACTAGACTTAGCTCCTGTTTTGTTCTGGTTTTGATAGTGGTCTCTGGGACAGATATAAAATGTTCTGTCAGTATAGCTTTGACTTGTATATCTCCAAAGGATTAGCAATGTTGACCCTTCATATGCTTCTTGGCTATTTGCATTTTTTTTCTTTGGAGAAATGTCTATCCATGTCTTTTGGCATTTTTCCCCTTTCACTTTTAAACTTGCTTTTACCAACTTTGAAAGTAATCTATGTTTGATGTAAAACAAACAAACAAACAAAAACATTAAACTAAAACAAGACTACTTCTTAACTCTTCTACTGAAAATAAGTTCACCAAGTTCTCAAAGCTCCTGGCTACTGCCTTCTGTGGGATTCCTACTATCCTGACTAGCCTACAAGCAAGGACTTTGTGTTCCCAATAGCTACATTCCTCCCGTTTTGCCTCCACATCTTTGTACTTCCCTTTCCTTTTCTAGGAAGCCTCTCTAGTTGACATTCCATTTCACTTCCTTTTCACCACTTCAGCCTAAAGATGAAATGTGTCCTCCCCAAAGGCCTTGAGATCCTCAGTCCAATATTGGCCCTCAGTTATATAGCAGTAGTCTGAATATCCCTGTCCTAATGAAGTAATCTCATTTGTTTAGGTGATTACTGTTCTCCCAACAAGAGAGGCAGCTCATGAAGAAACAGACCTTAACTCAAAGGAGTCATAAAATGCCTCAATGCTCTAGTCTACTGATTATTCAGATTAGAAAGAATCTGAAAAGCTGGGCAGTGGTGGCGCACGCCTTTAATCCCAGCACTTGGGAGGCAGAGGCCAGGCTGGTCTACAGAGTGAGTTCCAGGACAGCCAGAGCTACAGAGAAACCCTGTCTCAAAAAACCAAACAAAAACAAAAAAAAAAAAAAAAAAGAGGAAAAACAAATACTGTGTTAGGGGTCACATCTTTAGTCCCAGACCTCTGAAAGTTTCAGGCCTGCCAAAGCTACAGAGCCAGACCTATTTACAACAAAACAAAAAACTAGGGTGTGGCAGCTTGAGACAACAAAGAAAAAAAGAGGCTCTCAGTAAGTTTGTGTAAAAAGCCTAGACTACACAATGATTTTCAGGTTGACTCCTGTCAAACAAAATGGAGATGGTGAGACATTTCAACAGATAAAAACATTTGCTGCCAAGCCTGCTGATTCGAGTTCCCAGAACCGACTTGGTGGTAGTGGTGGTAGAGAACCGACTCCTGCAAGTTTTCTCTGGCCTTCATACGTGTGCTGGAATTACAGGTACCTACCACCATACCATACTTGGTTGGGTTTTTTTGTTTTGTTTTGTTTTGTTTTTAATTTTGTATAGACAAGGTCTGGCTATATAATGCAGGGTGACCTCAAACTTGAACCTATCATCTTCCTGATTAAGTGTATCCAGGGTTGAATATCCACTATGCCTGGTTTATACAGTGCTGGGAAGTGAACCCAGAGCTTCATGCATTCTAGACAAACATTGTATTAAATTGTACCAAATTCTACTTAGAATAAATAAACACTTATTTCTATTTGTGTGTGTGTGTTTTGCCATGTTTGGGAGTCTGTGGAAGCCAGAAGAGGGCACTGGACCCTTTGGAGCTGTAGTTATAGGCGATTGTAAGTTGCCTAATGTGGGTTCCAGTATCAAACTCTAGTTCTCTTGAAGAGCAGCAAGCACTTGAGCTTGCTGAGCCATCTCTCCAACTCCCACAACTCTTCATTTTAAGTATTAAACCACTTTTCAAAGGTTATGTCAGAGTTGTAGTTTATTACATATTCTAGATATCGACTAGATATCTAACTGCTAAGATTCATGATTTGCAAGTATTTTTTTTTTCCCAATTCTACATTTTAACTTTTCAGGACAAGTAAAAACAACTATTAGGAATTAAGTTTCACATAACCGGCAATTCAGTGATACAATATTTTACGGTAAACTTTGTCATTCAATAAGAAGGGGGCACACTCTAAAATAATAATAGGGGCTAGAGATAACTCAGTGGTACAGTGCTTCCCCAGCATTCAGTAAATCCTGTGCTTCATTACTAACAGTGCAAAATGGAATAAACATCGTAGCATAGTAAATACATAAGTGATTTTTTATAATCAAGTGCTAATGACTGTACACATATATGCTGCACTTAAATACAACTAGCAACACCACCATGTGAATAATGCTGAACATTATTGTGATATGAATGATGAAATATGAATGGTGAATTCTTTGCATACTCAAATTATAATAGCTATGTCACTAGGTAAAACTCCCATTATAACTGTATGAGACCACAGTCACATAGTGGTCTGTTAGGCACCAAAATGTCACAAAACTTATGACTACTTGATTTTGTGGAAGTAATAACTCAAGGTCAAAATTATTTGACAGTGACAAATAGTCTAGTTATCTCTGTACCATTCAGACATACAACATAGTTCCAGTAACAGTATGTGACTATAATCAAGAATTCTCTGAAGAAGGCATTCTCCATAGAGCTGTGTGAAAAAAAAGCTATCTTAGCGCTGGAGAAATGGTTCAGTTATTAAAAGCAGTTGCTGCCTTTGAAGAGGACCTGGGGTCAGTTCCCAATATTAACACAGCCCCAGACCTTAGTAGGCCCCTAGACCTTAGCACAATTGATTCCTTGATCAGGTTATGAAACTCAGCTTGTATACAGCACTACCTGCCAAAACTAAAACAAAGGCCTAATCCATATAGTTCTGGGAAAGATTCTAAATATATTGACCTTACTTTTTGGCTTCTGCAGCTCTGCTTCTGGCTAATTGTTCTTGTTAACTGAAGTATATCAACAACCCAGAACATGCTTTTGTGTTTAAAAGCTCACCCTGAGAAAGGCTCGGTGATAACACAGGGATCCCAAACACCAGTATAGTTGCCCGCAGGCTAATAGACTTTCTATTGGATCAAATCCATGTCTAGGCATTCTCTGGTGGATACTTCATAACACCAACACTCATATGGTAGTTCACAATCATCTATAACTAACCCTTAGTTCTAGAGGACCCAACACCTTCTTCTGGCCTCTGCCAGGACGATATGCATGTAGGAAGCCAACACACTTTCAGGCTAAATATCCAGGCACAATATCCAGATGAGGAAGGTCCATCTCACTATCTCCCCTGGGCAGGTAGTCCTAGAGACATTCATCCAATGGGAAGGCAAAGGCATGGTGGCAGAATAGCTGAGAGCTCACATTTTGTTCCACCAACAAGAGGCAAAGAACACACTACGGATAGTGTGAATCTTTTTTTTCCCCCCCGAGACAGGGTTTCTCAGTGTAGCCCTGGCTGTCCTGGAACTCACTCTGTAGACCAGGCTGGCAGAAGTGCTGTTACCCACTGAGCCATACAACCAGCCCTCCACCCCAATGATCAGAAGTCTCTAAAAAAAAAAATCAAAAATCTTACCTCAAAAATTTACTGTTCACTTCTCCTTCATCATCAAAATCCAGCCTAGGGAAAGGTAACAAAAGATATTCTAAGTCTATTGATAATATAGAAAGTAAAACATATTAACCAAAGATGCCAACGTACTCACCTAAATAGAAGGAAGAGAAGTGGGCAGAAGCAAAACAAAAGCCTGTCTATAATACATGTTTTCATAGTGTTATAGCATGCAAAAAAGTTAGGCAATAAAAGAGCCATAAGTGCGCCGGGCGGTGGTGGCGCACGCCTTTAATTCCAGCACTTGGGAGGCAGAGGCAGGCGGATTTCTGAGTTCGAGGCCAGCCTGGTCTACAGAGTGAGTTCCAGGACAGCCAGGGCTACACAGAGAAAACCCTGTCTCGAAAAACCAAAAAAAAAAAATAAAAAAATAAAAGAGCCATAGTGCCACATGCTTATATATAACCCCACCATCCAGAGACTGTGATGAGGACTGAGAGTTCAAGGCTACCCTCAGATACATAATGAATTCTAGACTAGCCTTAGCTACATAATTAGAACCTGTTTCAAAAACACAAAATGAAGAAGTGAGGGAACAGCAGCAGCAGCAAAACTGATCCCCCTCCAGCAGGGATTTTCGTACACTAGGCAAGTACTATAACCAGGAAGAGTTACAAGGATAAATAGCCCCCAGGGTCTAAGAATGTAGCTCATTTGAAGAATGCGTGAAACCCTAGTTCAGTCTCCAGTACAGCATAAAACTACATGGTGGCACAAACCTAGTAATCCTGTCACATGGGAAGTGGAAACAGGATGATCAGGAGATCAAGGTCAACCTTGATTATACCACTGAGTTCAAGGTTAGGCTGAGCTACTTGAAACCCTACCTAAAAAACAGAAAGTTCCTGAGATCTATTTTTCTTTTTTTTCTTTTTTTTTTCGTTTTTTGTTTTTGAGACAGGGTTTCTCTGTGTAGCTCTGGCTGTCCTGGAACTCACTCTGTAGACCAGGCTGGCCTCGAACTCAGAAATCCGCCTGCCTCTGCCTCCCAAGTGCTGGGATTAAAGGCGTGCGCCACCACTGCCTGGCTTCTTTTTTTTTCATTCATCCATTTTTAAGTTTAATATTTTTGTGTGCTTTAGTGTGTGTGCATGTAGATACCACACTCATGTCAGAGGACAATTTGGTAGAGTTAGTTTTCTCCTTCTACCTGAATGTGTGGGTTCTGGGGATCAACCAACAGTAACTAGGCTCATAATGAGCTACCGCACAGGCCCTAAAACAGCTGTTCTCACCTGTGGGTCATGACCCCTTTGGGAGTTGCATATCTGATATCCTGCATTGTTATAATTCCTAACAGTAGCAAAATTACAGTTATTAAGTAGAAATAAAATAATTAAAAAGATTGAAAACCACTGCCCTAAAGCAAACTTCTTTTAAAAACTTTTCCCAATCTTTACCATCCAAAGGTGGTGTTTCTATACACTTAAAAAATAGTATTTTTTAGTTAATTTGTTCTTAGTTTTGTTTTAAGATAGAGTATCACTATGGAACTCAGGATGGCCTCAGTCTCCATTCTGACTCAGCTCTAGGACTTAGGCATCACTTACCTTTGTCATATTCTGTCTTGTATATTTACAAATAAACAGAATGACTACCAGAACTTTAGGAACTTTTCCTATCTATCTTTAAAGCCTATTACACACTTCAAATATAAATACATTCAAATCTGGTACTTCAACAAATACTTTTGAAATTAAATGAACTGTGTATTCCAAGTCAAAGAAAGTATTAATAAACTACAAAAAAAAGATTACCAAAATGATTTTGAGAATGCAGACACAGAGAGAGGTTAAGGAAAGGAAACAGTTTTTTGTTTTTTGTTTTTAACAATAGTGAAATCCTTCTTTGCTACAGTCCCTTTACCTTCCAGAAAATTTTGTTTTTTTTTTTTTAATAAATAAATAAATAAATGAAAACAGGCTTATCAATAAAAATACAATAAAACAATTTTAACCTGTATAGAAATTTTTATGTGAGATATATGAAAATGATGTAATTATTAAAAGCCACCACTCTTTGTGAAACACAGGTACTGTGAATGAAGTCAGATGAAAGTAAAGTGATAAGTAATAGGCGTGACCATTTCATCTTTTTCTTTTCGTTTTTTAAGATTTATTTATTTATTTATTTATTTATTTATTTATTTATATGAGTACACTGTAGCTGTCTTCAGACACACCAGAAGAGGGCATCTGATTCTATTACAGATGGTTGTGAGGACCTCCGGAAGAGCAGTCAGTGCTTTTAACCACTGAGCCATCTCTACAGTCCTCATTTTTTTTTCTTTATAGCTATATTTATACTCAAATTATACAAGAAGAATTTAAAAGAAATTTACTTAAAATAGTGAACCTGCATAAGGAATAATTCAGGGACTAGAGTTAGTTAAGTGACAGCAGTGTAGTAAGTAATCAATTAAAGTGTGGTCGGGAATAAACAAGAACCAACAGCAACTAACTCAATCAAGTTGATGGTAGGAGACATGGATGATATACATTCAAACTTACCCTGATCTTCGCTTAACAGCCCTCTGTACAACAGCTCCTCCACCTTGAATCCCAGGTCCAGGGTTTCCAGAAGCAATGGCGGGACCAAGTGGTGGCACATCTGATGTCATTTCTGTCAGAAAAGAATATCATCAATATCCCCAACAATCAACGTCATGATACTGGCTAAAAGAAATACTCACACCAAGGGTCATCAAGAACCCTTGCTGCCAACTCTGATGACCTTAATTCAATACTTAGAACCCACATGGTAGAAAGAGAGAACTGACTCATAAGTTGGCCTATGACCTCCACACATGCACTGAGATCTCACAGCCTTGTTCACAAGTAAATAAATATAACTTAAATAGGAAAGTGGGGTGGGGGGGCTCAAGCCAAGCCTGTGGCAAACATCTGCGATTCCACCACTTGGAAGATTGGAGAGGAAAATCAGGAGTTCAAAGTCAGCAGTAGTGGTGTATGCCTTTAATCCCAGCAGGAGCCAAAAGCAGGCAGATCTCAGAGTTCAAGGCCAGTCTGGTGTACAGATGGAGTTCCAGGACAGCCAGAATTACACAGAGAAACCCTGTCTCAAAAAATACAAAACAAAACAAAGAGTTCAAAAGTCATCTTACTATATATACAAAGTGGATTTGGAGCCACCCCAGGCCACATGAAATTGAATTTTAAAAACTCACAAAAAGCCAAGTATGGCTTTAATTCTAGTACTTGGGGGACAAAGAGAGGCAGATCCCTGAGTTCCAGGTTAGCCTGGTCTTTAGATTGAATTCCAGGACAGCCAGAGGGGCTATACAAAGAAACCCTGTCAGAAAGAAAGAAAGGAAGAAAGAAAGAGAGAGGGAGGGAGGGAGGGAGGGAGGGGGGGGAGGAGAAGAAGAGAGAGAGAGAGAGAGGAGGAGGAAGAAGGGAGGGAGAGAGAGAAAGAAAAAAATGTTTAAGCTATGGCTTAATCATCATGTATTAGAAGAATTACGTATTTAGAAAAGGAAATTTTAAATACAAAGTTTTAATCAAGGTTTTAATTTAAAAAAAAAAATCACTGGTCATACAAAGAATCAGGTAGGTCTCAAGACAACAGTGTGTGGGGGAGAGTCAGCTAATAAATGCCATTATTAAGACAATGCAGATGTTAGAATTATCTAACAAAATTTTTGCAAGTAGGCCTGATAAAAAACTCTTCAGCAAGCAATTAAAAGAACATCTGGAACAAATGTTAAACAGTCCTAGCAAATAAAGACACAGAATATGGGGAAACTGTTCTATTTAAACCTAAAGCTGAAGTCAATATAGTTAAGAGGACTTAGGGGTCACTGGACCCTTCTATCTGTTCCTATGCCAATGTGACCACAATGAGTTTCTTCATTAGTTGTCAATTAATTGGGTGAGGTGACTGACTGAGCCTTGCCAAGGGACACTGAGATATCAAGCTTTTTTCCCTAAAATTGTAGTTACAGGAATTGTTATATATACAAATAAGTCAGATAAAACAGCAAATAAGTGCTGGAGAGATGGCTCAGCGATTAGGAACAATGACTGCTCTTCTAGAGGTCCTGAGTTCAATTTCTAGCAACCACATGGTGGCTTACAACCATCTATAATGGGATCTCATGCCCTCTTCTGGTGTGTCTGAAGAAAACAGGCAGGCGGATTTCTGAGTTCAAGGCCAGCCAGATCTACAGAGTGAGTTCCAGGACAGCCAGGGCTACACAGAGAAGCCCTGTCTAGAAAAACCTTAAAAAGAAAGAGGGAGAGGGAGAGGGGGAGAGAGGGAGAGGGGAAGAGAGGGAGAGGGGAAGAGAGGGAGAGAGGGAGAGGGAGAGAGAGGGAGAGGGAGGGGGGGAGGGGAGGAAGAGGGGGAGAGGGGGAGGAGGAGGGGGAGAGGGAGAGGGAGAGAGGGAGAGGAGAGCAACAGTGTGGCTGGGCCGTGGTGGCGCACGCCTTTAATCCCAGCACTTGGGAGGCAGAGGCAGGCAGATTTCTGAGTTTGAGGCCAGCCTGGTCTACAGGGTGAGTTCCAGGACAGCCAGGGCTGCACAGAGAAACCCTGTCTCAAAAAACAAAACAAAAAAACAAAAAAAAAAGCAACAGTGTACTCATATAAATAAAAATAAATAAATCTTTAAAAGAAACAGCAAATAAAATTTACCTACGCCTACACCTTAAGACATTACAGAGTGAGAATCCACCACCAATAACACAGCAATGCACATATACTAAACAACACTGGGCAAAATGTGTTATAAAATCTGTCACAACTAAAAGAAAAAAAAATTGTATCTGGAGATTTGAACAGCCCTCTCTCTTTTTTTTTTTTAAGATTTATTTATTTATTATATATGAATACACTGTAGCTGTCTTCAGACACACCAGAAGAGGGCATCAGATCTCATTACAGATGGTTGTGAGCCACCATGTAGTTGCTGGGATTTGAACTCAGGACCTCTGGAAGTGCAGTCAGTGCTCTTAACCACTGAGCCATCTCTCCCGCCCTGAACAGCCCTCTCTTAAAAACTGAAAGAACAGTTAGAAAATCTGTTAAAGGGTTGGAGAGATGGCTCAGCAATTAAGAGCACGACTGCTCTTCTAGAGGTCCTGAGTTCAATTCCCAACAACCACATGGTGGCTTACAACCATCTGTAATGGAATCTGATGTCCGTTTCTGGTGTATCTGAAGTCAGTGACAGTATACTCATATACATAAAATAAATAAATCTTTTAAAAAAGGAATTAACAGGTTTATTTAAAAAAAGAAAAAGAAAATCTGTTTTAAAAAATGGAAGAAAACATTACTAGAATAGTTTAATACCTAAAGAAAGATCCCACCCAAAACAAAGACATTCTTTTCAAGTGTCCCTGAAACATGCTAAGACACAGACAAAATGAGGATTCATAAAACAAACTTTAAAAAGTCTAGAGCCAGGCAGGGTGGCACACACCTTTAACCCCAGCACTAAGGAGACAGAGTTCAACTCTCCTCGTCTACAAAGCAAGTTCCAGGACGGTCAATACAACTACAACAACCAAAAGGGAAAAAAAAGAGAGAAAGACAGAAAAGGATAGGAAAATCTCTACAAACAGGAAAAACAAAACCTACAGTTAATGAGTCAAAGTCTCAAAAGAAAACTGTCACAAACTTAACTAAATGCAGGTGAAGCACAAGTACTGCTCTTGCAGAGTTCTTCAAGGCATCATGTTGGGCTGCTCATAAACACAGGTAACTCTTGCTCTAGAGGATCCTACATCCTTGCCTGGTCTCTAAGGGCACTGCGCTCCAAGCACATACACAGATATGCACAAATACATAAAACAAAAATATACTATAGAGATGACATAGTGGCTCAGAGAGTCAAAGTACCAGCCATGCAAATCTGATGAATGTTCCACCCTAGAACCCACAGTAGGAGAAAACTGACTCACAATAGCTTGTACATGCCAGCACATCACACACACACACACACACACACACACACACACACACGCACACACGCACACACGCACACACGCACACACGCACACACGCACGCACGCACGGGGGGGGGGGGGAGAGAGAGAGAGAGAGAGGATAACAAAAATGTAAATACAATATAGCAAAATTTACAGGAAACAATTAAACTCTACTTGGTAAAGCAGTTTACAACACCTGGTACTCACCACTTCCACACTTGCATATACATGCACATACACACACATACAAACACACTCATAGGAGGATTCAGAAGAGCTTTGACAGCTCTCTTTAGCCTGGCCATATGGGTAACAGCTTTGTCAATTTCCCATGAGTCTGTGGCCTTGGAGACCTCAATATGGCCATGTGCATGTCAACAATGCACATTTACTCAGGACTTCCTCTGTTCCCTACACTTGGAAGCTCAATCTGTAACTCCAGCACCAGGGGACCCAGACCTCTCTGACCTCCAAGGGTACCTGTACTCATATATACATATATACAATTAAAAATAAAAATAAGTCTTTAAAAAACAAAATTACTAGGTTTGGTGATGAATACCTTTAATATCCACACATGGTAGGCAGAAGCAGGTTAATTTAAGTTCTAGACCAGCCTGGTCCATATAGCAAGATCCAGGCTAGCCAGAGCCTACATAGTAAGACCCGGTCTCAAAAAGACACACCAAAGTTGATATAATTATTTACCTACACATATATACATATATGTGTCTACATATTTGAACTTAAGGTTTACTGATATCAACCCACATGGAAAAAAATGGAAAATACTAACCCCCCTTCACAGAAAATGATAAAACTAAATACATATGAAAAGAGCAGTGAACTGAAGAAATCTTCTGATAGAATTTACTTGCATTGTCAGTAGTATAGGTCTGTAATTCCAGCCCTGAGGAGACAGGTAGGAGAATCACAGGAAGTTCACATGAAAATTTAGGACAACTAAGCTACACTTGGTCTCAAAGGAAAAAACAAACAAACAAAAAACAGGTGTAGGCCACCACCGTATCCAGATTAGAAACCCTCTGGTGGTTGGAGGGATGTGGGGTTTGCAATGTACTGGGGATTAGATTTAGGATCTTGTGCCTGACACACAAGGGTTCTTCTAACTAAGCTGCATCCCTGACCCATTTTTAATATTATTATTTTTTAAGACAGGACCTCACCCCAGTTCTGGCTGACCGAACCCATGTAGCTAGGTATTTGCCTGGCATACATGAAGCTCCAATCTTGAGCTCAACCCTGAAGTGGTGGCACCTAACTATAATCCCACCACTACAAAGGTATAGGCAGTAGTGTCTGGAAGTTCAAGGCCTACCTTAGGATAGTAAGATTAGGGTCAGCATAGCATTTGAGAGCCTGTCACAAGAAAAACTTACTTGGTCATCCAACAACAGTAAAAATGAAAAGGAAAGTTTTAAAATTAAAACATAATTTTGTTTTTGAAGTCACGGTTTCTCTATGTAATAGCCCTGGCTGTCCTGGACTTGATTTGTAGACCAGGCTGGCCTAAAACTCACAGAGATCCGCCTGCCTTTGCTTCCCAAGTGCTGGGATTAATGGTGTGTGCCACCATCCCTGGAAGGAAGATGTAAAAGTTTTAAAAATTATAATTTTGGGAGAAAGTAAATAGAAGAGACTTTATGA